TATAGTGAGTATTATTGATAATGGGGGTTGAAGTTCGAAGGGGGCAGAGTCCAATAGGTCTGATAGGGATTGGAATAATTGATTGTGAAAAGGCAATCTTTTTTGTGCTGGATTTCTGGATGCCTTTCAGGATTGTTCTAATCTGGTATGACGATAAGAAACTAGGGTTGTTGGGCCATTGATTTATCATGTGATGCTGCATTCTGGTCAGATATAATTTGATGGTATTGTGTTATAGTTTTAATTTCAGGTGGCAAAAAGAGGCAAACCCTACCAAAGATGTCATGACAAATGAATCAGATATGTGATGTTCTGATATGAACCTATGGGATAATAGGAATGCCCTATCATATGATTGTCGTATATTATCTGAGAAAGCAAATTGTGTCAGCTTACGGCCGTGAGCTAACAGATCATCTAGCGACAGTAGTGGTTAGTCATGAGGCAGTAGGGAGAGCTTTGTGAAATGCCTGGAAATGAAATTGAGATAAATTGTCAGGAGCAGTATTTTGTACCTGCGGTACATGAAAACAGGCCAAGAAAAATGAATTACAATAGCCAACCAAGTTAATCTCATAAGGAATCTCAGAATGGTTAGAGAAGATGAGCTCCCCTAATTTATATTGTGACATGTGGCCTAGTTGTCTGAGTATCATCAGACCTTACTGCCCGACCACGAATGGCTCCAAGTCACAGCGGCCTCTACTATCGGATATAATTCAAATAGAGCAGAAGTTAGTGAAAAACCTTCAATGCTCATGACATCACCCGGTGAACTACCTCAGAGCCATTTATTACCAAATATAGTGGAGAAACCAGTAGTGGCTGCGGCATCAGTCCTTATGGTGCACTTAAAGGGACACCGTAGGCACTGTATCTGCTTCATCTCATTCAACTGGTTATAGTGTCTGGAGTCCTCTGGTACCATCATTTCTTTCAGCATTAAACAGTTTTTAAACTTTTAATGTTTTAATGCTAAACAAGAGTCCCCGGCAATCCATCCCCTCTGTGCTGCTTTGGCTAATAAGGAAGTATTAGCCTGAGCAGCAATAGGCAGCTGTGATTGGCTGAGAGTGTCAGCTGACTGCTTTTAGCCTGTCAGAGTTCCAACTGACGGTATGAATGGGTATGACAACAAGGAAGTGTGTAATCTTTGCCTTAGCTACACATACTGAAGGGGCCGGACTGTGGGTAGCCAGGGACTCTTATTTTGTGGCATACTGCACGAACATGGTGCAATGCTGAATTGAGGGACAGTGCCAGGGCACTCCAGGCACTATAACCAATTCAAAGAGATGAAATGCTTATAGTGACTACAGTGTCCCTTTAAGATTTGAGGAAGAAGCATGCTTTTCCCGTTCCATGTGAGTAGGAACCTATGCCACATGAACAGGTCAGCTGTAACTTTAGAATTTAATGTAATGTGGCTATCATCACTAGGGAGATCAGGGGAATAGGCAAAGGAGTCTTGAAATAAAAAAAATCTGCCTTGAGGGATAATCCTCATTGCGAAATTGAGTGAGCCTAAAAGAGATTGCAGTTCTTTGCGACTGCAAGAACAGATTTGAAGGTAATAGTTGATGCATGTAAGGTTGTGGTTATTTTTTCTCTGGGGAGGCTGGACTGCATGGCTTTGGAATCGAGATGTATGCCTAAGAAATTGATAATGGTATCCTGTCCTCCAGTTTTCTTAGGAGATACCGGGACACCCAGTAGCTGGAAGATGCTAACAGCTTCATGTAGACTGCATGGGAGTTAAGTGTTATCTTCAATCATAAGGAAGTCATCCAGGTAGTGGATGACTGTGGGGCATCTATTTATGTTAAGTAACAATCAGCATAACGTCTCTGCAAATATGTCAAATACTTTTGGGCTACTTTTGGAACCAAATGTAAGTCAGGAGAAGAAGTACTAAAGGCCCTTCCATTTAATTCCACGTTATCTATCATAGTGTACTGAAGGAAAAAAAATCATCAGAGGGAATTAGAGAATTCAAACTAGGCATTGCAGTGGAATGAGGGGCTGAGTGGTCTATAATCAACCTTTGTTTAATACACACAAAAAAAATAGAACAAAAAAGCAGCGGTCCTGCGGGCAAAGAGGAGCTGGTGCTGAGGCCACTCTGAACATAAGCGTACTGACCCCTGAGATGGCACATCAGCCTAGCTGCATCTGAGGCCTACCCAGGTGGTATTTTAGAATTTGTGCTGATTCAGCGAATTGTTCAGCTTGTGATTTTAAGCAGCGCACAGACAAGATATGTTCTTCAGCTAAGCATGCGACCCCATAATACTTCAATAATGCCAGCTTGTTTATGCTAAATGAATAACCTGCCTCTCTTATCTCTTAGCTGACATGTTGGTTCCACTCTTGACAAATCTACATTAACATATAAAATGTGCAATGTTATATTATGCCAAACAAATGTCTCTACTATGTTGACCATTATGCTTGCAATCACTGTTGTGGCATTGCTTGTTGCTATGTACTTTTCTTGTACGATAAAATAAAAATACAGAATTATATATAAAATTTAATTGTCTGTTTCACACCAAATATTACAAATCCAAAGATAATTTTTTTTTTTTAGCTCCCAGACGTAAAAGGTTATTCCACAAAGCTATGTGATATAATGTCCAAAAGTAGATAAATGTCAGCGCTGTGCAATAGCCCCAAATAAGTGTTTGTGGGGAAGCTGGGTATTGAGATAAACGTGTTTGATTTCCACCTCCACAGCGGTGGTTTAGGAAATTAGGAGTATTTGTATCCAATAGCAGTGATCACAGTAACGTATCTTCAAAGATACAAACAAAGCAAAGAAAGTGCAACACAGTTTATTAATGTCATGTAAAAACGAAACTCCAAATCCTTTAAAAAGTTCATACACAGTAAAAAAGATGGTGTTTAAATCCTACTTTTCATCAAGGAATCCAAACAGAGTCCAGAATATTTGGCAGATAAGCAGTGTGCTGAAAGTATTACCACTCCGTTGGTGCAGCAGGAATTCAGAAAATATCAACGGATCTAGCCGAAATGCTGCAAGTTCAAATGGAGGGATGACAAAGCACTTACTGCCAAAGGTGTCTGCCTGGAAAGATAAGATGAAAGGCTTCTAGCTCATCCACATGTTCCACCCGTACTAAGCGGGCTTTTTCAAGACCTTGTAAGTGTAAACTGTTTTTAATGTTCACTTGTTAGGATGGTATAAGGATGGTATAAGACTCAGGTATAAGGATGGTATAAGACTCAGGACCAATATGTAATTATAGCCAACAAAACTAATTAGGATGTAATATACAATTTAACCACCAGAGGGCCTCATACAAGAGTATGTAGCTTAATATACTTAGAAAACCTGAAATCCCAATAGCATTTGTGCAAACCGTTCGTATAAAAATAGGGGAAGACAACTGTATCCTAAGTAACATTCGTGTGTATTTGCCCAAAGGTCAATGTGACCATAGAGCATTTGTGCATCCCACAGACCGACCTAAACCACACGCAGAGCATTCATTTGTTAAAGCAACGAATGCTCAGCTGAAACCAATTTAAGCATGCTAACACATGCAAGCAGTTTGTGCGAAAAGAGCTGAACGGGACAGCCATAAGCGTGCAGGCATAAGTCCCAAAAGCTTTTGACGTAAGTACGAAACAGGAAATGAATTTGTGAATTTGTTTAAATCGGGTGTTCTCAACCCAGACCTCAATGACCCCCTACCAGCCCAGGATTTAGGGATTACCTGGGTGTGTCTAGGGTGTTTAGAAAAAGAAAAAAAAACATCTTAGACTCTAAAGTGTTTTTTTTTTTTTTTTTAAATACCTTAGACACACCTAGGTAATCTCTAAATCCTGGACTGGTTGGGGGTCTTTGAGGACTGGGTTGAGAACCCCTGGTTTAAATGAACCGAGACACACAAATTTAAACATGAAATAAAGCATACAAGTGAATGTTATAATGAAAATAAAACCAAACCGTGATGACGCCGTGGGACAGCGACTGAGGCGTGACGGCTGGATATATGTCTCACGGTTCAGATGGTGCTTCCGGGTACGTCTCCGTTGAGTTGTAGGAGGAAGCTGACTACACGGGAGGAATAAAGCTGGCTAGGAGGAATAATGCATCCAGAGGAGAGTCAGCAAGTGACTTGTGAGGGACCGGAAGTAGTCGCATGCAAATCGCCAGACCAGGTAATAGTGCAGGAGAAGGTGTGGAGCCTTAATATATATATTTCATATTATTAGCATAGTACATATAAGCTAATAACAAAAATGAGCTAAAATCTGTCTTAATAATGACTCTCAACGTTTTCTTACCAAGTAATATTCAAACTATTTTTTCTTTGTCAGAAACAATCTATGCCAAAATTATTTTGCAATACCCAAATAAATTAATCATAAAAATAGACATAATAAAAGTAAAAAATTGGACAATAGTTTTTCGATATAGTTGCTTTGTCTGTAGTTATTATGTTTGACAGGGTTAAAAACCCTTTTTGTACTCACACAAATCCTGTGCTGTGGTGCTCCACCTCCTCAGACGTCATCCAACGCATGCGTGACAAGCACAGCTAGCACATTGGGCCCTCCCCTTAAGAATGCATTGTGTCATTAACTGATGCAGGATGTCCTTGTGCAGAGTGTGAGGTTGTCCAAGGTCAGTTTTGTGACCAAAAGTCACCTAGCCACTAAGAAGGTGGGTTTCTGATTGACAGCCACTAGAGGCAGTCTTAGAACTACAATGTAATTACATTGGAGTTTCTAAATAAACTACAATAATTTGCATTGCTGGGCTAAGTAGGACTTGGACACTGCACTCAGATGAGATGAGATGAAGTGGTCTGGGTGCCTAAAGTGTACCTTTAAGCTGCAATAAAATCAGCTTCCATAATTAAAGTGCCAATATAGTCACCTAATTCCAATCAAAGGTCTATGAAATCTCATATTGTATTTAAGATGTTTTTTGAAAACCGAATATTCCAAGAATTACGTAAAAATCATTGCTTTAACAAATAACACATTTCATAAGCATTCACAAACAAAGTCTGGAGTCTTCATGTGTACAACTAGGCCAAACATGACAAAAAACTGTTATTTCAACATTACAGCATCTAGTTGCTGTATATTTGCTGATTGGATAGCATTTCTCTGATGTGTTGCTAGATTTCACAGTGGTCTACACTCTACACTAAAAGCACAATTGTTTGTTTTAATTTATCATGTATATCATTGTCTAAATACCACTGTATAATGTTATGTCCTATGCACGTCTTGCCAGTAAAAAACCCCAAAAAAAACCCCTATCCTAGACCTATTACTATTTAACTGTTTTAATTGAATGCTACATATACTATAGAACTTAAACAATCTTTGGAACAATGTGGTATAGTTGAGGAGCTTTGCTTAATTTAATTTATCATCGTTTGTGCAGACTCAAATGAAGCTCTGCAATATGTATTAGAATTGAGAATTCCATTCTGGAAAATGAACAGAACAATCCCACCATGCACAAGTCTAATATATATTTTTGTGGTCTACACATTCAGACTTCGAGTTTGAGTGAATGTAAATAATAAGAAAATGGCTGTTTGGTTCCTTGGCAATTCCTACTTATTTTTCACTTTGCCCAAAATACTACTGTTTTTCTAATTTCTAATGATAAAAATATTGCCTAGTTTTCAATCTCCTAGCATCCAGGGGCGGACTGAGAGCCTTTGGGGCCCCGGGCAAAATTAGATCCCATTCCCTTTGAAGGCCAAATATATGTGCATGTCTGGATGACTACATGTGCTTTTTTTATATATAGTGTCAGGGTGAATGCATATGTGTATTGAGCATTAATGTGTGTCTGCATGTGGGGGGTGACAGGTGACAGAGTGTGTGAGGGAGGGGGTGACAGGTGGAAGAGTGTGGGAGATGGTGACAGGTGGAAGAGTGTGGGGGTGCCTGGTGGCAGAGTGAGGGAGGGGGTGACTAGTGACAGAGTGAGGGGTGACTAGTGACAAAGTAGGACAGAGTGACTAGTGACAGAGGAGGGTGACTAGTGACAGAAGTGAGGGGTGATTGGGTGACAAAGGAGAGAGGGGGTGACTAGTGACAGAGTGAGGACAGGGTGACTAGTGGTAGAGTGAGGGAGGGAACTGGTGACAGTGGGGGTGACTGGTGACAGAGGGATGGAGGGTGACTAGTGGTAGAGTGAGGGAGGGAGGAGATAACTGGTGACAGTGGGGGTGACTGGTGACAGAGTGAGAGAGAGGGTGACTGGTGACAGAAGGAGGGATGGGGTGGCTGGTGACAGAGTGAGGGAGGGGGTGACTGGTAGCAGAGTGAGAGAGGGAGGGGGTGACTGGTGATAGAGGGAGGGACGGGGTGACTAGTAACAGAGTGAGGGGATGACTAGTGACAAAATGAGGGACGGGGTGACTAGTGAAAGAGGGAGGGGGTGACTAGTGACAGTGAGCAAGGGGGTAACTGGTGACAGAGGGAGGGACGGGGTGGCTGGTGACAGACAGAGGGACGGGGTGTCTGGTAGCAGAGTGAGAGAGGGAGGGGTGACAGTGACAGAGTGAGGGAGGGAGCGGGTGACTGGTGATAGAGTGAGGGGTGACAAGTGACAGAGGAAGGGAGGGGGTGACTAGGGAGGGAGGGGGTGACTAGTGACAGAGTGACTGCCCTTTTTCCCCTTATATCCTACCTCTCTCTCTCTGCTCCCAGGTTGCTACTCTTTCCCCTCGCTGGCTGTGAAAGGGCTCTGTGTGAGAGGAGAGTACAGGAAGTGATGTCACTTCCTAGCCCCGCCTCTCCCATCACACAGAGTTCCGCGTGGGACAGGAACGAGACCTGGCAGAGAGAGAGAGGAGGTAATGCTGTCAGGTCTCATTAAGTGGGAGGGAGGAGGGGGTTATTATGCAGAGGTAGGTTGCTGGGGCCCTGCGCTCCTTCACGGGCCCCAGCAACCTATCAATGAAAGAGATTTTTTTTTTCGTTCCAGTTGGAGATCTCTGATCTCTCCAGCTGGAGCATGGCTGTGCGGCCGGGCCCCTGGCTGTCTAGGGCCCTCGGTCCCAACACATGGGTCTATATGCTATCATGGACAACAAGAGAACCTGAGACCCTCAGAGATTACTCACCAGAGATGTGATGCTTCAAATGTGATTCCAAGATGTATAGTTATGAACGTTAAATAGAATTAAATAGTTTTAAATATCCTGACTAGAAATGTTGCTTTCATTGCAACAGTTTCAAACACTCTTCACTGTTTCACAAATGTACTTAGCACCCTATAAACATTATTATGCATCTTAGTTACTTGGTTACTTATGAATCTTGGTTATTTATGGGAAACATTTTCCAAGTGGAAAATGTGTCCTTGAATTGAACATTCTACAGCAGCCATACATGTTATTTATTTTTTATACATTTCTGCTCTATTTAACATAAGACAACAAAAGCTCCTTCCTCTTTTCGGTTACAACACGGTTCTCAGAGCTCTAGAGAGGCATTAATCAATTTAGTTGGACATGCTTTTTTTCCAGTTTTTCAAAAATTTATTTAAACATCTCACATATACAAAACAGACACAAACTGACGAGAAAAATAATGGCTCTTTTGCCCCGATGATGATGTCGACTGATGTGAAAATAACGGACAACCAATTTTAAGAGGACAAAAAAAATTGGAAAATTATCCACACGCTTTTCCTGGGATTCCGTAGACAACCTGATGTTATTTGAATTTGGGTGTCAAACAAATACACAATACAACTTAATACGGAAACAATGGATGTTAACTCTTTATTAGCACCATTTTGTATTTGTTATAACTTAATTAGCACCGTGGTAAAAATACTTTACTTGTGAACACCATGTTTACTTGGTGGCTTAATGAAGATGTGAAGACACTTTAAGTGTTTGAGGTAGTTAAAACCAGTGGAAGCTGTGGTTTTAAACTTCCTCCATGGAAGATATTCAAAGGCCACAAATGGTGCAAGCTTTCACGTTTTTTATTTGGGTTTTTTTATTTTTTTTTATTTTTTACAAAAGCTGACATTTTTCCACAACATGATGTTAAAAATCGTGAAAGTATTCCAAGTCCTCTCTGGTGTATTAATTTGCACGGAATGATGCTCCATTAGATCTGTTTCATTTGCCCAGGATTTAAGCAAGTAGATGAGTGGAAAAATCGAAGGAGTCAGCTTTCAATGTTAAAAACAAAGAATGGGCAAAGAGAGGATAGTTTTTAAGTTAGTTTTTGTTGATGTTCATTTAATTATTTGAAACAGACTGGGCCAACGTCTACACCAAACTCTTGGTCACCACCACCAATGTCCAAAAGTGCAATGTCCAGGATGGGTAAGCGAGATGGTTTATTAGTTCTGTATTCGATGACTGTCTTGCCCCATTGGCCATTGTGTTTCTGAAATGAAAAAATAATTAAGTCATAAAGAAAACATAATTTTGCAACAGCAAGGATAAAGAAATGTAAAAACTTTGAAGCTAGAGCTTCTGGGACATTCCTGCAACTGTGTCAAAATGTTCTCTTATGAAAGGGACACTCTACTGCCCAAATACAGAAACTAAAATAAAAATAACTGTTTAGCTGATATATCCCCAATGAAAACATACATGACTTTAATTATGCATTTGTATATCTAAAAACAACTGCCAAAACCTGCAGATCTTTTTCTTGCAAGCCCTCCCCTTCTAACCCCACCCAGACTTTCTGTGGCTGTCCAATCACAGACTTCACAATGCAGTTCAATGAGAAGTCTTTGCAAGGAAGACGATCAGAGACATTGCTTGCCTATTGAGTACAGTTCCACTGAGCTAACCAAACCAGGAAGTAACAGTACTGGTTGTCTGATTGATAGACACTGGGTGTAACCATGTTAATTTATAAAAGTGCCAATTTCTATTGAAAGCTGCACTTTTTGTGAAATGAAAACACAACAATACGCTATTCAGACATAAAGCATTTTTAGCAAGCTAATGTCCTTTAGGGGTCTGGACATAATAAAGACACATTGAAAAAAACAATATCTTGTGATTTATACAAATCAACTAAGTTTCCATGGTTCTTCTTTAATTTTACATTTTGTGAACTTAATGAGATGAAGCCATATTGGTTTCAACTGGGTTCTATAAGTCAAAGGGGAGATTGTAATAGGTAGATGGCAACCCTACAAGGGTTATTCTTGTGGCTTTTAAAGCCTTTCCCACTACTTTTTCCTAGGTCTGCAATAATGAGCATAGATTGCTTATCTACCAACTTTACATTCTGTCAAAATCTCAGGTTCAGATGTTTGATCTGCAACAGGGCCATTTAAGCCTTTCATTATTATGTGGTCAATAAAAGGTCTACTGTCGTGTTGAATCTAAGTGAATGGAATATGCTTTCACACCCCTATTTTTATACATATTATTACATGGTCAGTTTACTTACAGTGCAGCTGTCTTCAAGGACACTGTATGTGAATCTGCTGTTGCCTTCAGCCCGTAATTCAACATCATTGGATCCCTGCAATGTCATGGCTTTCTTGAGGTTTCCAGTTTCTCCGTCCATGTAGGCAATGCTATTTTTACAGTGGTAAGTGATGTTTTGAGATGCATGGTTAGCCAGCAGACGCATGAAGGCAAACTGGGTGGCCATATCCTTGGATGTTATTCCTTCGTCGTTGTATTCAAACTAAGGAAATAAATATATCATACGTTACTATTTTTTAGTATGCATAGCTATCATCCATTTGTGCATATATAATGTGCAAAACCAGATAAAGATTAAAAAGAAGCAAAAGACCTGGCTTGTTTGTCATTCTTAAATAACCAGTAATCAGGGACGGCGCTACCTGTTAGGCGGACTAGGCAGCCGCCTAGGGTGCCCCTTAGGAAGGGGCGATGCCAGGAGTGCCGGCCCCCTTCATGCTGCAGCCGTCCGAGTGCTCTGTAGAGAGCTTCAGGTGGCTGCAGCTTTGCCCGGGCGCAGCATGAGGAGAGGGGCTGACAGGAGGGAAGGGCTCAGCGCTCCCTCCTGTCACTCCCTCACTGTAGCTTGGCCGAGCCCTGTATGATCCGCGGGTACAGGGAGCATCTGTCTCCTGTACCCGGCCGGACTAACACTGAGTGTGCACTTCCTTTTAGTCCGGCCCGGTACAGGAAACAAAAGCTCCCTGTACCTGTGGACCATACAGAGCTCGGCCACGCTACAACAGAGGTAGGGGAGGGGGAAAAAAGAAATTGACAGGGAGGGAGGGGAGAAAGAAATTGACAGGGGGAGAGAAAGAAATTGACAGGGGGAGAGAAATAAATTGACAGGGAGGGGAATTGATGGGGGAGGGGTAATGAGAGTGGTGAGGGGGAGGAGAGAAGAGAGTGACAAGGGGGGGAGAAGAGAGTGACAAGGGAGGGGGGAGAAGAGAGTGACAAGGGAGGGGGAGAGACTGACATCCATCACACACACACAATGCACCCCTTACACACAAAAACAATGCACCCCTTGCACACAGAAAAACACACAATGCATTACACAAACAATGCATTACACACACAGACACACACACACAAGCAATGCAATCCTTACACACAATGCATCCCTTACACACATATCAGGACATCCCCTACACACTCCAACCCCTGTGAACAAACTCATTAGTGGAACATGAAGGTGTACCCTGGGACCCAGACCTTGAGCTGTGTAAAGGGCCGCAAAAAATGGAGCTGCTTCCCGTTCTCCCAGAACATTGATTTTTGTGACCACAGTTACAAACGGCATCCAGGGAGCCTGTTCTACACCAGACCAGTGGATCCAGACTGCAGCTAGAGCCCATCATCATCCTCATCTGGTTGTAAGTAGGCAATCTAGTATATTATTCGTGGCACTAATCTCTAATTTACCTCACATTAAAGAAACACTATAGTCTCCAGAACCACTGCAGCTTAATGTAGTGGTTCTGATGTCTATAGCCTGTCCCTGCAGGCCTTTTAATGTAAACACGGTGGCACTGCAGCACTGGCGTTAGTTAACATGGCAGATCATATGGGTGGGGCATTGTGATGTCACATGGGGGGGTGGCAAACTTTACTTTTGCCTAGGGCAAAATCCTTGCACCGGCCCTGCCAGTAATTTAACGAAAATTTTTAATTCTTACTTTGTATTATTATATGCCTATAAGAAAAGAGACTGTTTATTCACTAAACTCTGAATTTAAGTGAATTAAACCCAAATTGTTACATTTTTAGTTAGTCTGAGACAAGAGCTGAGCTGAAGTTTTTTTCCAGAGCAGCTACTTCATCCTGAATTTTGCAATTCCGAGTTAATTTGCAGAAATTCTGAGTTTATTGAATAACTCTGCGAGAGTACAAAGGCAATATAATTGCAAAAGGGCTGTGTGAGTATGCTTTCAAAGACACCTACTGACTAAAACGTATCAATGAATATCCAACAACCACATATAATCCACTAGAGTGGTTCTCAAATTGATTTTGAAGGATCACCAACTATGAAGATTTCTCAATATCCTCATTTGAACAGAACTGGATAGTTATTCAATTAAATTCTGAGTATATGGTGTTTTTCTAAAATGTGGTTGATAATCAGTGGTCTACCAAGCCAGTAACATTTTGGAAGGCATATAAGATGGCATATAAAAAAATCTTACCTACAGAAAGTAGATGGAAGTCTATTTGCCAACTATGTGTATTTAAGATTCATGGAACTTTCTCATATATTTCTGGCCTATTAATTAGAATTCTTGCTTCATTAAAACATTACTCACTTGGGTGCCGCCATTAATAGTTTCACCAAACAGCATGTGTTTGGTGGTCTTTCCAATGTACCAGTTCTTCTGTGGAATGCTGTCGGGATTGGCATGGATACATGTCTCTCCAGTAGAGAAGTCACAGAAAACTCTGATGGCATCTGAAGTGCATCCCTGGTTAGGATCAATCCAGTAGAATCCTAAACAAAATAAATAAAGCTTTTGTGAAATTAATATATTGAAACATGATTCAATACTTTAATATGTTGATTTTCTTTTATATACAGTTTTATAAATAATTTTTTTTAAGTTAAAAAAATTATATGTTAAATTATGTTCAAAGTTTAGCCAAATATATTAAATAATTTGAAAAGTGTATTTGAAAATATTAAATTGAGGCCTAAACTGGCGTATTTTGTTGATATTTTGAATATCATTGTAAATTCTTGGTTTCAACAAATATTATTATTAGACATCAAGAACTTAATACAAATGGATATTGAGCTCCATAAACAATTCACATAAATATATAATTGTGATTTCAAGATGTATTTTATCAACATACCACTGGTCCATTCGGGGTGACTGAGTCTTAGATCGCGACAGGTACGAGCTGGGTTCTTTTTTGAACCTTCAGGGCTCAAGATTGTCTCAATTTGGTTGTTCAAAGCTTTCAGAGTGGAATCAACTTCATAGTCCTTGGGTCTGCGGTAAGGCTGGTCAGCTCTGAAGTATTCACCATTGTCAAATCCAGAATCATATCCACCACCAGAGGGTCCAGGGAGACCAGGTATACCAGGAGGTCCAGGAGGACCCTATACATGCAAAGCAATACATTTGTTACAAAATGTAAACAAATGTGAGTTTGCCCTTAGTCAGTGTCTGACCAGACAAAGATTAAAAGGCCATTTTATAATAATATGCTTGTTTTTTTTTTCTTCTAATATTGTTCTAAATCTACCTCTGGGCATGTAACAAATGTTTTAGAAACAATGACAATAATGGATTTTCTAACAAATAAATCAATCAGAGAAAGTTAAAAAGGCCTAATACTAGTCAAAGAATCCAGAAGCAGATTGAAGGTTCCACCTCTTCAAACATATATATTTGATTAAATGGGTTCTCTGTAAATGGCTTAATTAGGTTTCTGTCCTGGTATGGCTATAATCAAATACCATGTCTAGTTGTAATTTCCTTTAACCTTAAACCTTGACATTACCATTAACCAACAAAGCAAATTTAGTAATGTCACAACTTTTCCTAGCTTTACTCTAAAACATTAGTCATTGTATATTAAAATATTTAGTTATTCATGATTACACTGTCAGTGATTCTCACTTACAGCAGGACCTTGGTAACCAGCAGCACCACGAACACCAACAGGTCCCATTGGACCAGGATGTCCAGAACGACCTTCCTTGCCGGGAGGACCAGAGGGACCTGATGGACCCTAAATGAAGACAACAAAGATAACAATGTAAACACACATAAAAGAGTTGTAGAAGTAGAATATATTTAAAAAATATGTAATTGAATTTACATACCCTTGGGCCAGATGGACCAACATTACCAGCAGGACCGGGTTCACCTGGGGTACCCTGTTAATAAGATATAAAGTTTCACAGTCAAGCCTTGATCTAGTAATGCAATAAACAAATGTATATTTACTGCACAGATTTAAGATAAGGCCAGAAGTATATGAAGTGATTATTAAATGGGCCACTGAATTCTTTCACATACCTACAAGTCAGTGGAACTGGCAAATAAAGGAATAATTAAGTCTTAAATTATATACAAAGTTGCATGTAGATGGAGAAAAGAGTGCATGTTATTGACATGGACAGTGCCACAGAGAGAGTTACTCTCTGTTAGAAATACTGTAACTACAAATGTCGTTCTCTATGTGTTAAATTACTTCCATCGATCTGGATAATCATACCTATGACTATGGCTTTGCACAACACACATACTTTTGTAGCTTGCTTACCATGGAAGACTTACTTTAGAACTGGTCAACCTCTAAATATTGGCAAACAACTATTCATCGAAATTAGTTTTAACTCAAGATGATCAACTATTATCATTAACAAAATCATGACTTCCTCTGTGTGAAGGTATTTCAGTCCAAATTTAGCAAGTCTAAACTGAGGTAATTATGGAGGAATGCACAAATCTATACTTAATGAACATTTCTCCACAACTGCTCCACAGTAATAATGTGCATCATAACTGCATTATAAAAGCTAAAATGGCCAAATTAGGAGGAGAGAAATATATCATGAATTGATTTTTCTCTTTTTGAAATAGTCTACTTTGGTTTGAATTTTTCAAGGTGGTTGTCAATCCCAGATTTTGCATTCATTATTTACCACATTAAGTATGGTTATTAAAGTAATGTTTTATTAAGCAGTCTGCTATCTACATTTTTACTTGGAGCTTGACTTTAAATATGTAAAAAAGTTATTTTTTTATGATCTATACTTACAGAAGCACCAGGCAGACCTTGTAGACCGTTGTGTCCTTTGCGACCATCCAAACCTCTTGCACCCTTCTCACCAGCTTCACCCTTGTCACCACGAGCACCTTGTTGACCCTATGAAGCAATACGGAAGCTTACTGGATGATCGAGTGGGATCATTCATATTTAGTTCAAATATTACTACACGTGGTAACTCATCATATAGAGAAAGATACTTACAGCAGGACCTCTGGGACCAGCAGGGCCAACATTTCCAGCTGAACCACTTGGACCCTAAAAATAAAAGAGAATATGTTATCTGGTATGAGTTAAATTGTTTGTAAATCTTCACCTAAAGACTGAAAGTAGTCTTTGCAATCCATATTAGAATCTGATCCAATTCTACTTTTTTTGAGAAAAAGCCTCTGAAATGAACTAATTATAAAATAGAGTGATGTAATTCTTATAAGTTATAAATACTTTTATTTTAGATTCCTACATTTGCTGAATCCCCCGAATATTTGAATTATCTGCAGCGAACTCTCAGCAAAGCAGCAAGTGACTAAGCCAGACATCCTCACTTTATTAGCACTGCTGAACTAACCCCATAAGCCATGCATTATGGAGACAAAAAGGCTTTCCATGAGTTGAAGTTACAATGTCAGCGTTATACACTGGAACTCGAACATCTAGACTATAACACTATTTATTACAGTATAGGTAATAGAATAAGTTTGGCACTTACAGGCTCACCACGGTTTCCAGATTTGCCAGCTGGGCCAACTGCACCAGGAGCACCAGGAGCACCAGCACCACCAGCAGGTCCAGTGTTTCCAGGGTAGCCACGCTCTCCCTAAGCAGATAAACAAGCAGACAGTTTAATGTCTTGATCGGGTTGATTAGAAAAGGCGCCAAGAACATAATAGTTTGTGATATTGGTGTCTATATTGATAGAATAGCAAATTCATAGATAAATGCTTACCTTAACACCGGGAAGACCATCACGGCCTGGAGGACCATCGTTACCAGGGTTACCCTAAAGATCAATAATAAATTATATTACAAGAGTTATAAAGTTATTTACATAGTATAAAAAACAAACAAACCACACCTGCCTTGGTTAAACATACATGATAGATTCCGAACTCTAAAATTATTATTTTAAAATAAATTGAATTACCCTAAAATACTTTCCAAAAGTTTCAATTAAAGTAGGCAAAGACAATAACTGGAACCATGTCAGATGTGAATATATGTTGATTTGACATTCAATATATATTGTGTCTGCTATGATATACAATCAAAATCTACTACGTAATACTAGAGTTATAAAGTTTTTTTATACAAAAATCACTTTTAAAATTTGAGAAATAATGAGGAACAGTGCAACATTTTTTGAGAAGTACAAAATGTAACATCTTGAACTAGATTCAATGTAGTTTTGTTTCAATACATATTTCTATTATTGTTTGTGTTTGTCTGAATACCATCTTGTAAAATGTTGGATCTGTTTTACAATTACTACTGAGTATTTAAGTTTTTTTTATTTATTTAAAATTTTGCTGATAGCCCAACGGCCATTGCTGACATGTGGGATCTAGTACCATTTAGTGACTAGACGCATTACATAATAATTGCCAAATATATAAGATGACACCAGTAAAACCCTTAATAACTAAAGTGTACTATACAGCTGACATTTGTTTCACTTACATCACGACCAGCTTCACCAGAAACACCACTTAGACCAGGGGAGCCCACTGGACCAGAGGGACCACGTGGACCGGCAGAACCAGAGAGACCAGATGGACCTGGCTCACCCTATAAAGGAAAGAACAGAGGAGATTTACTTTAGTGTTAAGATATTATGAAGCTAGTATCAACAATTACAATTCAACTTTAATTGTATGATGTACTTATTTACACGTAGTGTCATGTATGATGGAAACATATATATCCAAAGTTATTCTTTTCAGGAAATTGATAGCAACCACTTCTTGTGGTGGCCAATGGGCGTATTATTAGGTATAATACAGGCATGCATGACATAGATCACTATGTAGTTCTCTGAAAATGTTCATATATTTTGAAGACAGTATATTTTTCCAATAGACATTTGTGGTGTGCACTCTGTCTAGGCTATTGTAGATTCAAAATTTTGGCTTACTACTTATAACAATCAGTTTATAAAAAATTGAGGGTGAAAGAGTGAAGGGTGACCTGCCTTTCCTCTAACACTCCCCCTAGGACAACCTTTCTCGTGTTTGTACTATTTAGGGTTTAAGACCCTTTATACCCACATAGTTCATTTATATGTTGACTTTGGGATCAAGCTTTGCTTGACCCTTAAGGCTTCATCTTTTCTTTATCTATAAAAAATTGAGCACTGCAAGCAAAAAATATTCTTAGATCCTGTTCTGGAAATAAATATTCTTGCTTAATAATATTTTATGTAGAGAAAGTAAACAGAGCAGTGCTCAAGTTAATGACTTTAGAGAATGAATGTCCAGCCTTTGTTATCCAGACAGCCATTATAAAATACAAAACCTCTAGTACTCTATGATACTTCAAATATTAAAAAAAATATTGTGCTAATCTTCTAATTGTGTACTTACATTTGATCCAGAACCACCAGGAAGACCGCGTTCTCCTCTTGTTCCAGGTAGCCCAACCAAACCACGTGAACCAAGAACACCAGATGGACCAGGGGAGCCTGAGGGTCCCTAAGACACACAGAAAAGACCACATATGACAAACTGTAACATGTGAATTGAGGTACAGATCTCTGTACATGTGCAAGACATGAACGGTAAGATGAGTTAAAAGGACTCATATCTGCGTGCAAGAATAGAGAAATAATGCAAGAATGAAGACATAGATTGGACTTAATAATGCTTTCATTCATTGTAGTACTTACAGCAGGACCAGCTTCTCCAGATGGACCTTTGTCTCCAGATAAACCTTGTGGGCCACCAGTGCCTTGCTCACCAGGACGACCAAGTGGGCCACTGTCACCACGAGGACCTCTTGGACCATCTTTGCCAGCAGATCCTGTTGGTCCAGGGGGACCACTAATACCCTGTTGAAACAGAGTATTGTTAAATATGTTATGAACACAATTCCTGTTTTTCTGTAATGCCTCCCTTTTTAATAGTGCCAATAAATATATAAAAAAGTATGCAATAAAATTATAGTATTGAAACCATTTTATACGTATCAAAATTATATGTAATCAAATAAAGAAGCATATCAATCGTCATCATTGTCTGATTATAGGAAAAAAATATGTGCGAGCACAGGGCTAGTTGCAGAAATTGTCATAAAGTACAAACAATCAAAAACTGGATCCATCCCATAAAATAGTGATTTTTTTTTTTATTACATGTATTTTTTTAACATTTTAGTCAGTTTTACTCAAACCGCATACACCTGTTCTCTATAATGTATCTGCTCATAAATGGTAACCTGGCTTCCCTGAATTAACAGCCCCAGACAAGCTGAACTTTTCTTTTAGAACAATACCATTTTTAATCGTAGGCACATTTAGTGGCACACCGGGATGTCACCCAATGACCATCTTCCCTCTTTCTACTTGCAGAAAGAAAATATACTGGTGCCCAATACTGGTATCCACAATGGCTTTAAAAAATGGTTCCGCAAACTGCATTCCCGTGAAGACTATACTGGGACAATAATTGGGACAATAATTTGATTGACCTATAAATAAACTCACCCTTAAAGGACAATTGTCATAAAATGTTCACTTCTTGTAAAGAATTTTGTACATACATTTAAAGAAACTGTATTTTTTTTTTTTATTTGACCAGCCATGTTTGGTCAGCTTCTACTTTAATCTGACTAACTGTGGCTCAGTTCAACTTGCCTGATACTATGAAGTGCACACACGGCAAACCAGTGATTAATTTGTTAAATTAGTGTTATATTAGAGAGCTACGGACTTCAAGAGAAAAATAATATATACTTACAGAAGGTCCGGGGGTTCCGGGTCTTCCTGCAGATCCAGGGAAACCAGTTGCACCCTGAACAAGAAATAGAAAATAAGTTGAAGAGTTGACACTCCTATTTCATCACTATAAAAATTGAAGGTTAAGAAATGTTTCTACTTACAGAAGGACCAGCATCACCACGGCCTCCAGTAGTGCCAGCTGCACCATTGGGACCCTAAACAAAGCAAAGAAAAATATTAAGTACATTTGTGTTAGTCAAGTGATATTCACTGGAACTGTACACTTCTGGGAATTCAAATCATAAAGTTATGCAAAAATCTCATAAAAATTACTCCAACGATATCATATGAGTGGTACTTTAAAATCAATACTATTTAGTCACCCTACATATTTGTGATTTAACATACTTCATACCTAACAAACAGCAAAGTTCCATGCTTAAATCTGACTCTTATTATTAGAATGTGCTAGTGGAGGTCTGTGTCCTTATCTTCTCATAGCAGGCCAGTGTACCTACCTTAGAATACAGTTACAAAGATATGCCCATTGCTTCAGAAACTAAATGTGCCCTAATAATTTAAGTATCCTTTCAATTGTCACAACATTATTTGAATATTGCAAATGATATGTGACCTCATTACAGGCCCTGCAGCTGTTATTTACAACATCACTATTTTAATGCTATGTCAAAGTGTTATATATCACAAATGTACGTACCTGTGGACCAGAAGAACCAGGTGCACCAACGGGTCCTTGTGGGCCAAGTTCTCCTTTAGGTCCCTTTTGTCCTCTGTCTCCCTTAGTTCCAGCTTGTCCAGCAGCACCCTGTATGGATATCAAGAACAATATTAGAAGATTTCTCTTATCGTAGATGACCAAAGCTTTTCTCTTCCCAAGGAGAACATACTTACAGGGGGGCCACCGAAGCCAGTGGAACCTGATGGACCAGCTTCACCTCGTTCACCCTGTTAATAGAAGATACCATTTTTTAACATTTTCATTTTGTTCAAACTCTTTGTGCAGAGTATCTGTGTTCAAAGTAGCAGAAAATATTACTCACAGGAGCACCACGTTGACCAGAAAGACCAGGTGGACCAGCAGGACCAGATTCACCCTAAAATATCAGCAAAAGTAGACAAAATTACTAGAGTGGAATAGAGAATGATTTTTGGTGACACTTGCACATTGCAAGTTTACCAATACAAGGAGTAAAACAGGCTACCTTGCCTTTCAGATCTGCCTTTACTACAGCATAGTGAGTGTTGAGCTTTGCACAGTCTAACAAATTGGTCAGTGTTTCTTAATTGCTATAGAGACAGACTTAATAGAGTCACAGCAATAAAAAAAAAATAGGTGATTGTATAGGAAGTGCACAAAATGCTGCAAGATACAACTTAATGACTGATTATTAAAAAAAAAATATATATATATATATATATATATGTATATAAAAGGACTAGAATCATACATTTTACAATTATTATTTTTTTTAACATTGGTGCATTTAAAAAAAGTATGTTGGTATGTATTCATTTTGTTTATAAAGAAAATATTCGCTATAATATATTGTATCAAAAAAATATCCTTACTCTATCACCGGCACCACCAGCAGGCCCAGGAGCACCTGCAGCACCAGCGGGACCCTAAACAGCAAAAATATAAAAAAAAAAAAGATTAATTCATTATCAGTAAATAACATCATTTGTAAACTCAACTCAACTCAAAAGTGTGTATACATCACTTGCTCCTAGGTACATTACATGATACCATAATATCTAATCATTTTGGAATAATTATGTCCTAAGCATTTTATAAAAAATGGATCTTAAATCTCCAGTAATAAGTGATCCAGCATCAGAATCTCTTCCCTTTCCCTTTGATGAAGTTAGAGGGCAATGGCTTATGGGTCCAAAGAATTAAGGAATCTAAAAACATAAATATTGCTATATTTCTATAAATGATCATATATTTAATATTCTAATTAACCTAGTTCACTAAATATACATGTAAGAGAGGGTATAAAAGCTAATTGTTTTCGTAATGGTTTAGAATTAAAGTGTGTGCTTTGGGACATTTTTTCAATCCAAACAATGCAATTATCTTATATCATCATACATATAAGTGAACCTATATGTGTATTCTTGTGACTAATGTAATGCAAAATCTTCTCTTGTATACCAGAAATATGTATATCATGTAGTTCCACCAATTCCCATTTAACGTTCAGTAAAAATACACTCGAACCTCAGCAGTGAGCCAACGCGTAGGCAGTGATTCTGTGCTGATTTTACTTTTTGATTTTCACTTTGTCATATTTTTCTCATGACATCAAATTGGAAGTATCAGTTAGGTGAGGCAATAATTCAGGATTATATTAATAGGTGGAGCTTCTGTAGTTTTATACGGCTTTTTAAAACACAGACGCCTGGATGCTGTATACACATTTAAAATTGCTACAAACAGTAAACAATTCCAACAAATGAGAAGCGTGCAATGTCATCAGTGACAGTTTACTTACACGGGCACCGTCTCTTCCAGGATTACCATAATCTCCAGTATTGCCAGCATCACCCTATAAAAAATGACATTAATTATTTAATTTGATCAATACAACAACGTTGATTTCATATCTATATAAAGATAATAAATTTCAAAGAAACTGATACAAAGATGTAATTTTTAACACTATTATTATTATTAATTTTTACCTTTTCGCCTTTGCCTCCAGGAATACCGCCTGCACCTCTCTCGCCGGGCATTCCAGAAGGTCCAGATGGTCCAACACCGCCATTTAAGCCAGCAGCACCAGGCTCTCCCTAGATATAGATAGAAAGCTATGTCATTTTATGCAAGAGAAAACAATAATGGTTTAAAGCGTGGCCTTCTGTTAACTATCACTAAATATTTGAAAGGAAGGAGTTCTTGTTATGTTATCTAAGCAAAAATTTTAAATATGGAATGTCTGACAAAGTTAAATATTGCATTCAGAAAGTACCTTGTTTCCATCAGTACCAGGTGCACCAGTAGGACCACGGGGTCCAAGTGGTCCAAGAGGGCCAGCAGCACCACTTTCACCAGGAGCTCCACGTTCACCCTATTTAATTAATAAAAACAATGGGAAAGAATGAGCTTGGACTAATAGAGACTAATCATGAAATTAACCAGCAAACTTAAGAGTAGAAAAATGTTAAATGCACTATATTACAAATTACAATACAGATTACAATTATGTTTATTCTAATTGACCAATTTGGTGCAGAAGAATATTTTACTGTTTATATTTAACAATTAAGTGTTATTTTACACACATTATGGGTACCTTCCTTTAAAAAGGAAAACAATGGATCACATTTACTGATAACAGATCATGCATATAAATATATACGATTTTTTTTAACTAGGGTTGTCTTTTCACAATACATAATGGTCTTATGGAGGCTAGATTTTACATCTACAAAAAAATAATTGCACTTACTAATTATATTTGTGCAAAAGCCATAGAGTCATGTATCAATCAATCCAAACAATGCAATTATCTTATATTACTTCTGCTTCTTGATACTTACTCTTGGGCCAGCAGCACCAGCAGCACCGTAGTCACCAGGAGCACCCTAAATTATGAAAAAATAAATTGGTTAGTATAAATGATGAATAAATACATTTCAAATAAATATTTCTTTAGACTTCCCTTTATATGTTGGTGTGACTGATTGATGGCCTTATAACGTGATGTAATGTGATAATGAGAACCGAATGTCACTTGCTCATCTACTCTGTGTATTGCATCGTAGAAAGTATCTCATTGCAGATAACGTTACGTCTAAACATTACCTTAAGTCCCCAAAACTGTGTTGTTTTTATATATAGTTCTAACCCCATATTAATCTATATTTCATTGGTACAGTTTATTATCATGCACCAAGCTACAACATAATAAAGTGAATATTTTAATATTCAGTATCATAGTTTTTACTAAAATACGATCATATCAGACCATAATTTTGCACAATATATACATTTTAGGGTTTTTTAAACAATGTGTAAATATGATGGTGATATATATTTAGCTAATTACTCTGGAAGTTGGTGTTCAGAAAATGTGTACCATCGTTCTAACAGGTTTTCAGGTTGGGATATTCTGTAGAGATAGTTTACGTTTGTCAATGTGACAAGATGATATATAAACCCGTGGGTAGATTTTTGCCACAAATGGCCAAAGGATCTGACACTTGGTGGAAGGGAACAACATACTGAGTTTTAAAAAAGCCTGCAGCTTACATATTATTCTTCTTTCTAACAGAACCTCACACAAAAGGCTTTATTAAACTTATTTAATTTATAGTTATTTTAAAGCCATTTAAATCATCTTGACTCATCTCGTCTGTTCATTCGATCCCTGGATTACTTACTCTCTCTCCAAGTTTTCCAGCTTCTCCAGGAGGACCTCCGGGTCCAGGAAGACCCTAGTTTAAAAAAAATACTTTTATTATCACAATGTATCTGTTCGGTAAAATAAAAAAGAAAACTGGGCTTTGCAATCTTTCAATAAAACAGTTTACTATGATAATAACAAAATAATTACAGCATCAGAAGGAAGCTAAAACTACATGTCTTAAATATCATATCTATATATACTTTTGAGAAAGTGAAAGACTTATTCAGAAAAAAAAAGTTTTTCATATTGAGATTTTTTTATATTGAGATTTTAGTGGTGTCGAAAATATGTTCTACGCTGTAGATAAAACTAAAAACTTTACATAGTAGATTACATCCAATACTGGAACATATCTGAACTCCTATATATATCAACAGGGTAAGGTGTATGGAACCAACTGCTTACCTGGAATCCAGGAGCACCGGAGGGACCCTGTTCACCTCTTTCTCCTTGACCACCCTGAAAATCACAGCCAAGAAAATACATTAGAAAATGACCTTTGACTTTTATGTTTATTGACAAAGAATTATGCAATTAAGATGATTCTAATTCAATTTTCTACTTACAGCAAGACCTGGGGGACCTTGTGCACCATTGTTACCATCGGGTCCAGGAGCGCCCTGAAAAAAATTACATCAAAGAATATGGACAGGTTAGAACATGTGGATTAGAAATGCCTTAAATACATCAAAAAATATCCAAACAATATGTTCTACGTACACAGCATGTGCAGCATTAACTACTCAATAGATTTAATTACATATCTATAGTATATGTTTATTGCATTATCTACCTGGTATGTTGGATATCTTATACGCATAGTATGTGCACATTTTTACCTTGATAGTATAAGATATTGTATTAGATGCATAAAAAGAATGTGTACAGCATTAGCCACAAAATAGAGTATGTTCTATTACTATGGTGTATTGTACTACAAATTACCTACATTGTATATTTCAATATATTATTCACATTATTTTGTACATTTATTGCTTTTCATTGGTTGTATGATATATTGCAAAAGTTATTTGCCTTTGCAAGCAATAGCATCCACTTTTCACTTGCCAGTGGCTTGTGGCAAGTGATAATTTTTGAGATCTGATATATTGGATTACAAACTCAACATCTATGCATAGAGTAATAATATCTTCCACAGTCAAAATTGGTTACAGATAACCTGTGTAAATTATGCATTTTAATTTATATTATACAATCTTTGAGTTTCCCTACATTCATGCTATTGTTTGTAGTCTAGACTTCACAGGAACTTTACTATGTTATTATGTAATGCATATTATGCATTATAATGCAAACATGTTTTGCACTCAGAATATATGAGTATAATATACACCTGTATAGTATTATACTGTACTGAATTCATTCTAACATTCTATGTCATAGGATGAGCAAATATATCAAACTTACTCTGTCTCCAGATAGGCCTTGGCTACCCTTTTCTCCGTTTTTGCCAGGCTCGCCCTATAAAAAAACAAACAGATTAATGATGTTTATTGATCACTATGTATTGAGAATAAAAATTATTCTCATTATAGTTTTATGCCTTCAGAATATAAATATAATACTTACAGGGGGTCCTTTGGGGCCAGGGAATCCAATGCTGCCAGGTTCACCTCTGTTTCCAGTGGGGCCAGCAGGACCATTGCGACCCTCGGCACCGGGAGCACCCTTGTGAAGAAAGCACAACATAAACATGGTAAAAAATCAACTATAACATCTACACCCAAATACTTTATTTCACTGGTGACTGTGATTAAGCAGAAGCAGAGCAATATATATATATATATATATATATATATATACACACTTAAAATATAAGTTCTGCAAATTCCTAATAAAGAAAAATGGAATTTATGTCTTATGTGCCACTATGCTTGGAACCTTAGGGGAGCCTATGGTGAATTAACACATATTTCAGTTATATAGCTTCATTCAAGTAAACATAAAAGGAACAAAGCATTAGTAAATGTGCCATTATTTATTCTAAATCAGTGTAAGCAATGGCTACACTTCCTCAATGATGACTTCTGTCCTTCGTGTTTTGTTATAATAATGATACTGTCGACATAATACCATTTGCAATGTATGATACTTACAGAAAGACCTTCTTTGCCAGCAGGTCCAGGGTTGCCAGACTGACCAGGAAGACCCTATCAAAATACAGGGATAAAAAAAAATATGTTATCATTACATGTAACATGTGCACGAAACTCACACAACTGAATTTATAACTGAAATCCACCTAAAAAGGCATGCTAGGACAATTAAGGTACAGTGTCAGTCCTAATGACACATATTGAAACTTATTGACCAGATGTACTTTTATTTATTTCCATGGCTCTTTTAACAATAGATTGCTACAATAATGGTTAAAGTATTGGGATGTCCCACTTTTTTATTATTTGTGAACTCGAGATAATATATAATATTATTGATGAGTTAAGCTCATCAATGTTCTTAAGTATCATGGTTCTGAAGAACTTGCATGGATGATTGCCTGTAGGAGGAACTTACTCTGGCTCCAAGAAGACCAGGTTCTCCGGGGCGACCAGCATCACCATTGGGACCTCTTGCACCAGCAGGACCAGAAGCACCACGACTACCTGGAGCACCCTAGAAATACAGAATACATTTGACATTACATTGGATCAGTGGGAGATATAGCAGATGCCATGAACATGATATTCACTAAGAAAGACTTACACTTCCACCAGCTCTGCCATCAGGTCCAGGCAGACCACGTGTTCCAGGTGCACCCTAAATTAGAAGAAAGGCACCTTAATTAACAACAGAATCAGGAAAAGAATGCAGAACAGATCACACAAATGTAGTAAATATAAGCTCATACATTCTAATTAATCTATATGATCTGTTGGTTTTAACCAATAAATGATAAGATAACATCACAAAATGTAAATTGAGTGATAACTAAATACAATAAGGATATTTTATGATAATCAGACAAGTGAATCTTAAGACAACTGAATCATGCCCAGAGTTGGTCCCGTCTCTTTTTCATTACTGACAGAAGTAAATGTTAAAAAATTGTCTCATTTAAGCACTCTCTCCTTATGCTGTATCCAGGAGACAATTAGCTAAAGTTAAGAAAAATTAAATCAAAAACCAAATCATCTCTTTATCAGTCTCACAGTTATCCAGGCAAAATCTTGTAATCTATGTAATCGTTTTAAAGGTTAACCTATGTGAAAACCTAACTTTTTGGCCAGAGGAATCATTGTATCTTCTATACAATAATCTCTATGCTTTTACCTAGTGTGTGTTTTGCCTAGCTAGCAAAATAGTATCAAACGTACTCTAATTCCAGCATTGCCAGCAGGACCAGATGATCCAGCTTCACCATTTGGACCTCTCTTTCCTTCCTCTCCAGAGGGACCAGCAGGACCTTGGGCACCAGAAGTTCCCTAAGTGCAAAGAACAAATGTCAAACAACGATGTTGAAGCACAAAAAAAACAGAACACGAAAATTATATTTAAATAAAGGTACTTACAGGTTCACCCTTTGATCCAGTGTCTCCTTTTCCACCAGCTACACCAGGATCGCCCTAAACCAAATAGGTTATTGTCAGTATATATGATAGGAATATATGATGACCAAAATATGAGAAGCCAAGTTGTACTGTTCATATAATGCTTAATGGTAGTTAATAGAGTTAATAATAAACACCAGAACATTCTGATACAGCGTTTACTTACAGAAAGACCTCTTGCACCGGTAGGTCCAACAGGTCCTGATGGGCCAGGGATACCACGTGCACCGGGAAGACCAGGAGCACCAGATGTTCCAGGAAGACCCTGCAATGATAATACATATAACATTATTACTCCAATATTATCAATAATGCAACAAGTGCCGCATAGGATAAAATAGTTACATAGATTTAGATACTCACAGCAGCGCCTTTAGCACCGTTAACACCATTAGCACCAGGGTTTCCCTAGAAAAAAAAAAGAGAAGAAATTGTCAAAATTAAGTATTTTTTTTATTAACTTTTGTTGTTGGGTAATATTTTATTTATTTATTTCTATAATATTAACTTACAGCGGGTCCAACAGGGCCGACAGCACCAGGGGGTCCGGGTTCACCTCTTCCACCTGCAGCTCCGCTAGGTCCAGTGTTACCAGAAGGTCCGATTTCACCCTGAAATATTAAATCATGCAAACTTTACTCATCAGAATTTTGCACAATAGAGAAATGATAAGCCTACAACTAGTTGGTTCAGGGTTCCATATCTACATGTCTTAACTACAAAGGTAGTATAATATACAAAAGTGAGATAATTTACAAATAGACTGTGGGTATGTTCCTCATTGAAGTATTTAGTTTAGGAAGTTAATCATTTGTGAAATAAACTGTGGCATAGCTCTACAATATGGAGGCTGGTCTCTCTGTGTAAGTTACACTCATTGAATAGTGACATTGAGCCTCATTAGTTCCCATTGAAATCCATATTTTATAGGTTGCCATGCTCATCTAAGCCATTAAATGATATTTGTTGTAAGGCCAGGATCCAACTTTCTGATAACATAGCTTTACAATTTAAGTTAGATTATTCTCAGTTTCAAAGGGGTCTTTATTGTATTGCAGAAAGCTTCAACAACTGGTTAAAACTGATAGACCGCGCAAGATAAATTTAATTAGACAGATAAATTGAAATAGTTGTTAGAAACATAGCACTTTTGCTCAGAAAGGAAATTTTTAGTAACACAAGTATATAATTTATGGGAGTCTAATGTAGATAAGGGGAAGGAATGACCCATTTGATAAATTCAGAAGTGTTAACACTTTTAAAATCCAAAAGAAATTGAATGTGAAGCTATACTATTTTCTTTTTCTTTTTTTGTTCACATTTTGTTATATGTGTAAATTCATATAAATTTGTAGAAAATAATAAATAAATGGAAAAATTAAATAAATGTAAAAAATTATACTCTTAGCAAGAACATAATGCTGTGTGCAGGTAGTGAATATGACCAACATACCTTAGCTCCAGGAGCACCAGGGAGACCAGGAGCCCCAGCAGAACCAATAGGACCCTACAATCAATACAGAAACTGTTAGAAATTGGCAAATATATACTTTTTTGATTCACAAATTAAATTATAGCTGCATGAGAGTATGTTTAGAAAAAGGGTCGTTACTAATAAATTCAGAAATAGATAAGCACATTGTAACATTTTAGGAACATTTTAAATAAGTAAGTATGAAACTAAACAGGTTAACAATATCAGTTTTAATTTTTTTTAAATTTTCTCTAAAAACTTAATTTCAGCACCATTCTGCTAAATGTAACCTTTTTTAGCCATAGTACAGCATTTCTAAACAGAACTATGGCATATAAAGGTTTAAAATTCTAAACTACAATAATTTTTGAACACATGAGCTCTGCAATAGAAACAAGTGAATAATTTGCAAAAACAACAAAAACAAAATTATAATTTTTTATAGATAGTAAGTAATGAGTGTGTTGATAGCAATACATTTGCAAGAGATAACACTTAAAAAATGAGATCTTGATAGTGGAAGACAGGTGCAAAAACAAATCTTATATTTCCTGTTTCAGCCTCGACATAGCTTTAAGAAAAAAACATAACAAGTTTATACTTACAGCTGGACCAGTTGGGCCATTGCTGCCATCGCTTCCACGAGCACCCTACAGGAAAGATAAATACACAAAATATTAGCTTATTTAAAAATTTACAATATCAGTGAAAGAAATGAGAGACAGAGTGCAAGGTTTCTATGACATCATTTATAAAAATGTAATTAAAAATGAATCAAAAATTAAATTAATGATAATCAGTATCAGGGTTATCCATTCCTTGAGTTAGGTTGGCCATGTAAACCTTAAATGAATTATTTAATTTAAATGACGGATGTGGTAATACACTTACAGCTGGGCCGGCGGGTCCGATACGTCCTCTTTCACCTGAAAGACCACGAGCTCCCTAAAAGTACAAAAAAAGAGAGAAATGTTTAAATTTTTATTAAAAAAATCAAATTTTTTAAGTTGTCTCAATGATATTGTCAGTGGTGTTATGAGGACTATTGATGTAATAATTATAACTGATATATCTTGAAAATATGTGCTATGTGCTCTACCTTAAATGGCTAGAAGTGGTTATGTCTATTTGGATTTAATGGATTAAGTATGGAGTCAGGGCAGGTAACCTTGCCACTCTTGGTATTGATGATCTCTAAGTCAACCACAGAAGATAATGGGAACTGTAATAATACCTTGCAGAATATTACAATCATTGCGAGGTAATATTTCTTTCACTGTTAATTAGCATATGATTGGTTGGTACTACCTCTGTGCCTGTGGATGTAGGCATGTCTTAGCATTAATGGTGGTTTGACCACCATTTAGGTTTGTCATAGGTACAATGCTATGAATTATAAACAATAATGATAATTATAATAATATAAAACCGAATACTTACAGATTGGCCGGGGGATCCATTTTCACCATTGGCACCATTTTCTCCCTATAAAGGAAAAGTAAATGGATTGAAAACTTTTGTCACTCATCACAATTAATTGACATCCCTCCAGTTTCTATGGCATTCTGTAGAATGTATGCAATCAAGCAAGAAACATTACATAAGAGTCCTACGAATTTGGAGGACATGCCTCTTTCAAAAGTTTAAGCAATTTAGTAATTTAATAGTAAGTAAGGCATCTTGAATGGGAATGTCTGATGTTAAAATTAAATTTTTCGCAGCAATATTCAGGTTTTGGGATACAGGGGCGAGCAAAATATGTAAGTATGGCGTATGGTATGACCAGTTCCCTATATTTTTAATTAATATAGGTGATTTTAAATAGTTTTGAAACTTTATATGTTGCATTTTTAATGCACCGACCCCTGTATGTGTATTTTACATAAATGGTGGTCATTTTCACAACACCACCGTTAAGAATTTTTTTCTCCTTTATCGACATGATTATTGTTCAAGAATATTTAACATTTTTGTAAAGTAGTGGAGACATTTATGCCATGATCATCATTTCTAGGATAATATTATGTCCAGTATTCGAGATCTTATCCAGACATTACAGAGAAATTTCAAAGATGGACAATTTAGGGTCTCCGGTCTCCAAAAACAAATCTGATGAAATTATACTGATGATAGCTCAGAGCTTGACATCCATAAATGAAGCACCATGGTTTAAAACTTGGGTAACATTTAAGAATAACCTATTTATTTGCCTGTATGTATATTACATTGGAGGATTGATGCTATTCTTGTGATAATTGAATAAGAATGGTTATGTGACCATTTACAATTTCTTGTATATTAAATTCCTGCAAATGTATTTGTTTCTATAGCAACACAGCAGTTTTGTCAATGCCAATGATACAATATTGTGCCCTGATGAGCACATTGCAGTGGCAGGAGTACTTGCATACAACAATGAATGCTGAATTATTTCTAGGTACATGCATGGGAAAGAAAAACCATTAAAGTGTGACGCTGCTTTGATTTTTTTTAATTTTTTTATAATGCTAATAAAATAAACATTTAAATGCTCTGTGTCTAAGTTATGAAATTTAGTAGATTTATGAGACTTTCTTTTATTGACTAGATAGTACTGAATTTAGTAATTGCAATAAAGCTAAATCCTACAATAAGGCTTGATCCTACTAGTTTTGGGGTAACCAGATAGTATATTACATGCAACAGGACAAGGAACAGCACTCCATATCACGTGCCTTCCATTGACAAGAATTCCAGTATTAATCTGTCAACTTGTGCCAAACAGGTGCCATCATAGTATAGAGTACATTCTAGTACAAGTCATAACATTTCATGTTACCTTGACACCAGCAGCACCTGGGGCTCCCTTCTGTCCATCAAGACCATTGTGACCCTATGAAAAGAAAAACTAGATGTTAGCATTATAATACCATAAAATAATCATTTTATTCAGGTAAATTCCCAATGTTGCTTTCCTGTAGTCCCATATGAAGGTTTTTACATGATTATTGAGATTGGTGTTTCTTTCCATTGCAATCATTATTTCTAGACCGTCTAAATCTGTTTCAAGACCAATACATTGTAAACTACAATTGTTAATTAGATCTGAATGATGAAGCCATTGTTATTTCCTTATCCAAAAAGGCAAACTGGTTGACATAATACTGATATCTGTCATACAGCTAACAGGTACCATTGCTGCTAAATGTCCAACACATTGGAATGTATTCAATAAACTGGAAACAGGGAACATTTTGAGATTTTAAGATACGATAGCCCAGCTGATAAATACTGCTGAGTTAAAGTATGTTTCATAGGTAACATTTTCATCCAAAATTTTGCAATTCCCTTTTTGAATATTTCCAATTTAGTGAAAAATAAGCATTTTTCTTTTACATACCTTTAACATCTGCCATTAGCTCCTAAGTCCTTTGAGTAGTTCAAGTTTGTTTAATGTATTTATTTTAACCGTCCACATTTTCTAATAATACAATGCTACAAAATTATATTTTAAAAAATTGGAGGAGCCACGTATTGTGTGCTCTCTTCTAGATAGTGGACAGACAGTGGACTACAACATAGTACTAGAACATATTAGCCTTAACATTGTAGACGCATGTACTTTATCTCTGTGTAAATACGTATTGTGTGCTCTCTTCTAGATAGTGGACAGACAGTGGACTACAACATAGTACTAGAACATATTAGCCTTAACATTGTAGACGCATGTACTTTATCTCTGTGTAAATACATTTTAATATACAAATTAGCTTTTGTAACGAAATGGAAACCTAAATTTGACCATATATTTAATGAAGTAGTAACTTACTCTAATTCCTTTAAATCCGGGGAGTCCGGGAGTTCCGGGGAAACCACGGGCACCCTGAAATAAAAAAAGGAGGTTAATTATTCAGTCTATTAAACAGATGGTCGTTATAACCTCTTGCTAGATATTGTATTAGCAGTACACGTTCTCTTTACCTGGGGTCCAACTGTGCCTCTATCACCTGGTCGTCCTGATTTGCCTGGTATACCCTAAACAAAAGAAGGAACATGTTTGTTAATTATGAAGATATAAAAAGTAAATCAGCTTGCTAACCAGAGCAACCATATCTTACTCTCAGTTTCCTCCATCAACTCTCCGCAAGATAATGAGAAATACAATCTTGTGGTCTTATTCACTAAAGTACTATATTGCCTGAAGCAACCTGAGATGTGCCAGTTCTAAAATGGTCTCATAGCCAACTTGCAAACTTAGGATATTTAAATACTAACTTAAAAAACTGTAAGAATTTTACATATATTGCTCACCAGTCTATTATAGAGCTCTAGAACCCTTAGCACACAGGATCCATGTCTTTTAACACATTACCATTACCACTTTATGTTTATAGTGTGGATAGATTCTTGATTTTTAAATTTCTTTGACAAGACATTGCCTCTTGTTCCATTGTATGGAAGGGCCTTTTTCAAGGGTCATCTCTGTGGTCAAAATATACCCTGAAGCTTTTGTATGGATGGAACTCGTTCCCTTGTTGATCGCTTTGAATGGACATCCTCCTTGGGGCATTTCTACCAATGGACCTGTTTCGTGATTCTATTTTATGAATAGTCCTTTTTCTCTAGGCCTTTTATATGTATGATCACTTCTCCAATTCCTTACTCACATAGTTTGCCTCCTCATTAAATGTGGATCTTGAACTACAAAAACATTCACTGGCCTCTAGCATAACATCTAATACAGTCCATTTTATATTATTCATGTTAGAGGCTGTATTGCATAATTGAATACATTGTCTTTCTACAGGAAACAAATGAGTAAGTAGTCTACATTATACTTACATCTTCACCGGGTTTTCCAGGGGGACCACCTGGACCTCTTGAACCAACAGGGCCCTAAAATAACCAAATGATAAAAGTCAAATTTAACAATAAATGTTTAATTAGGTAAATAATAGAAAATGTCAAAAAAGTATTTATTTTTGGAAGACTTACAGTTTGACCTGGTTCACCAGGTTCACCGGGAAGTCCTTGAAATCCTTGTGCGCCCTGAAATAGAAATGCAACTGATTGAAACATTACATCTTGGCAGATCCAACATCAGCAAACAGCGACCCGCACTCACTAAATGGTGTTTAGAAAGCACTACCACTCATACAGGTGAATTCACGTTAAGGCACATTAAAGCTTAGAAACATTTTGGAAACTTGTATTAAACTTACTGGAAGTCCGGATTGTCCTTGGGGTCCTTGAGGTCCCATTATACCCTGCAAAATAAATGATTTAGTCCACAAAAGTGAGGTATATAGATACAGCTCATAAGCATTACTTGAAATATCCTGGACAATATCATTATATTATGCTGAACAAACAACTACAGCCTACGGCTGAGAGTATTGCTTTTGGCCACGCATGCACTCTAGTATACTAGATATTAATAGGCATTCATATAATAAAAAGCTAATTTTGCAGTTTATTGCACTTTAATAAATATCCTGCAGGCTGCAGACTTAGATTGTTTTCCATCACATGTGTAGAACAAGTAATTTGTGTTGTTTAGCATCATGGCAGACTGTTTTTTTGCTGCCGTGGTAAGTAACGCACCTACCACATAATTAATTACAATGACAGCACACCATGACTCTGCCCAAAGTACATGGCACTTTTGGGATGCTACACAAAGTCACAGCCATGATCTGCTCATAACTAAGCCCATGTGCGCGCCGCCATGAAAACAAATGTTACACTGGAAGGCCATAAGCATTTCTGAACAGATGGGTATTGAGTAATTTCTTAAACAATTGAAGACTAGGGGAAAGTCTGATAGGGGTAGTCATGCCGTTCCAAAGAAAAGGAGACACCCGTGAGAAGAACACTATATAGCAAATATTATAGTGGATGTCAATGCCACTTTAACTAGAAGTGGAGTTCTGGTGGAACAGGGAACCTCACATTTTACCCCTATGGCAAATACAGTGAGAAGTTACAATAAACAAGCTCTACTTATTTCCCAGGTTGGTCTTCAAGAAATGTTTGGGTAGAATCTCCTCCACTGGTGAGTGTGTCAGGTACTCTGATATATAGATTCAAAATGCTAAATCTGACATTGTCTATATGCGTATTTGCTAGTTGCTACTGGGGTGTTTCTATGTTAACAGTTGACTGAAGGAACTAAGTCATAGATTTGTAGAGTACACACTATAAATTCATCCTTCAAAAGCTTGATGGACTATAACATCCAGTCAGCATGTGGGCATGTGCACGACGGGAGTTATAGCCTCAAACATGCTCATGGACTTCTGTTTCCTAATTGACTAAACATAAAATTGAGAAGGTCATTGCAAATCGCAAGATAAAACAACAAAACTGGAACCTCTCTCCTTTTTTATCTGTTCAGTTTGGCTATTGTGGCCTAGTATTTGTATTGCCCTTGTTAATCTATGTCTTAGAAAAAAAATGTGACCATTTAAATTGGAATTCTTATAAACACAAAATGATCTATATAGCTTGTATCTATGAGTTTTTTTAGAAAATGTTTTAGAACAATGTATACACCAGATATTGTCACTTTTCCTTAGGGCATGGACTGTAATCAGAACGTCACATAGTCTATATATTTACACACCTGTGGTCCTGGTTCACCGCCTGCTTTCGATGCGTCATACTGAGCAGCAAAATTCTGAGGAAGATAAGAAAAAAATTATAGTATCAATTTTATTTTTAGGTCGTGGAGATATTGATTTGTTCAAATTTTTAAGGTTCGGACTGGCCTCAAACTAATAGCTAGTATAATTCTCTCTAATGCTTATACAATATATCACCCCAAAGTCCTAGTGTGGACAAGAGTGTTTTATGGTTGACCCACCATAGAAATTTGTGAGATCTAAGCAATTGATGACCAAATGTGCCTGATTCATGCATTTGCTATATAGTAATTATACCTGCAAGGCCATGGTTGGTTCAGGATAGTGTGCTTTATATGATCTGTATTTCTAATAGATATCCAAATGCTCATAACAGAATGGACTAAGCATATATATTTTCATCCTTGGCTAATGAGCACAACCTCAATTCTAGATTTTCTACTCAAATCTGATCATCGTGGGAATTTTTCATCCAGAACATTTAGAATGTGATATAGAATGATATTATCAAGTACTAAGTAAAAAATTCTCTTAATGAGATCAATAAAACAACATTTGTTTATGTTTGACTCGTGTGACTCATGTGTGATGACTTAGTGTGACATCTCTGAGATTTTAAGTCTAGGGCAAAAGTAGGCCACCTTCATGTCCCCTGATACTTTGCCATCATTATGGCTATAAAAACATAATGGGAAATGTAGCCCACGACATCAGTGGAGCTAAAGAGTTGCCTACTGGTCTAGGGAATCAGAAGCTGATATTAAGATTTAAATCCTTACTCCGCCAAGGCCAGGAGCTCCAGGAAGCCCAGGGGGGCCCGGTAAGCCTGGAAGTCCATCGTCGCCGTCTCTGCCTGGGTTGCCTGGAAGGCCCTACAAACACAAAAGACATCTACTCAATAATGTTGACTTAGAAAGGTGACAGGAATGTAGATTGCCATAAGCAAGTTGCCTATTATACTTGTGTTGCAGGCCTGAACACGCCTTTAGTGCAATGGATCACATAATACTAACTCCTTACTCAAGTGAAAATTAAAAGTGAATTTCAAACTCAATGCAAAAATAGCCAAACTGGAAACCTTCTCTAAATAAGCTATGTTTCCTTTACAGCTAGATCGGCCTTAAATTTTAATTTCACTTTGAATTCGCTTGGAATTCTTAATTTAGCGAATAACCGTGTTAGAGTTAGTGTTTCCATGTTTCCATGTATGTGTTTTTATACTTTTGTCTATGGCCCTCGGATGCTGAGGGACTCAATCTTCCCATAACCCTATACTGGCCCCTCTGCTTATCAACTGATATATGGTGGTTATTGAAGGGCCGAGACTGTGGTAATTTTATTTTAGTACTCATTGCAGTATTAGAAAAATTATTGATTTATCAGCAATGTTGTTTTTTATCTACTTCTTCATATAATATCTGATTCAGGTTAAAAAGGACAGTAATCTTTATTTCGAGATCAGAATCTTTCTGACTGGCATGGTAGTATTTTTAGAAATGTGGAATAAATAAAAAAAAACATTAAAAAAAAGGGAAAAATATATGTAAAACAAATCACAAGAACAATAAAAGTGTAAAGTGTAGAATATTGATCTCATGTTACAAGAGCAGAACGAGCTTTAGGATTCCTTACCCTATCTCCCTGAGGCCCCTTCCGTCCTTCGTTTTCCTGTTGGAAAGAACATGCTCAGTCAAGTCACATAAATCATCATGATGCAAGACATACATTACAGATCATCTAAACCTAGAAATATCTAGTACTACGAATGCAAAATGAATGCAAAGACAAAAGTATTCCTATGCACAGCATTACTGCAAACCAAGGTTGGCCACTAATAGCCCATTTCTTGTAAAACTGCAACTTCCATGATGCATTGCTAGCCTTAAGGCTGACAAAGCATCTTAAGAGTTGAAGTTCTAGAGAAGCTTGAATTTTACTTTCTGACCCCCTATATTGCACCATTAGCCAATAAACTGTCAAATGTCAATCAAATAATTTGCTCTACCATAAGTAGGCCAGTTTTCAATGTTCTAACCAAATAGAGGCCACAGTACCAATACAATATACTTTCCTACAGATTAGATTTTTATTAGACAGACGTTTAATAATAAAAGCAGATTTCTGAGTGTCACATGGAGAGGAAATCACTCCAATAGGCAAACAATAATTATCTGATTTCACATCTTTTGATCAAAATGGTGCTTGTTGGATCATTCATCAAAACCCCATGGAGTGATGCCATCAATGTTTTAATTAGGGGTGCTTATAAAACTACTTATTTTGAAGCTGTGTTATGTAAAACATACATGGCAGTCTGCAGTCTAAGTTTTACCAAATGTAACTTTGAAATATGCATTTCCAGATTTTAATAACATTGTAATTACAGATGCCGAAAAATGTCAAAGCAAAGTTTGGTGGATTCTGTACAGCCATTACTAGAAAGCGTGATGGGAGTTGTTATCCCAGCAGATGTACTGCCAGAGACATCAAATGAACCAATCCTGTAGCAAAACATTTCTCTTTATCCCGGATGTAATGAGACAACAACGGTAAAAAACAAAAAAGGTATACAAATTATAATTTTTAACAATTCTAAATGTGTTTACTGATTACAGCTCTCACGACTTTTCCTAATCACACTACAAGCTACTTACATTTTCGAAAATTTGCTCCCTCACAAATTTCCCTTATAATATCAAGTTATAGATCAGCAGTTTAATCATTGACTTAAGTTCGACATAAAATATAAACAGAGCCAGCAACTTTGAGAGTTATATAAAGCAATGTCTATTTTATATTTTCTTTTGTAGTCTGCAGGTTGTAGTGTGATTAGGAGAAAATGCACAAAATTTTGCTGTGATCAGAAAACACTTTCAGATATTTGAAATAACGTTCGCTCAAATCAGTTTTCACCGTGTGATCTCATTAATACTTCCATAAACCCAAATTTAGGCCCCAATGAGGACAGTCCCTCTATTAATGACTGATATCTAGGCCCAATATGTATAACTTGAACTAGTCTGAACTACACAATGTGCCACAACAAAACACCAACATGTACTAAAGTACACCATGCAACTATCACATCTTCTAAACATTAGCCCCATCTGAAATACAATTCTCAGTTTAGTTTAAAAAGGGAGGGATTATATCAAATGAGAAAATCATATCTCTGGTAACTGAATAGTGCTTTTTCCATTGTTATTTATAGGAAACTTACTATTCAATTACCAGAAAAATACTTATCTCTAATAATAGAATCAAGTCCAAAAGGTATTTATCAAGGGAAACAGGTGCAATACTGGGGGGAAAGTGCTCAGTGTGTTGAGACAGTCTACTGGTGAGCACTTTTTTTCAGAATTGCATTTATTTCCAACAAGAGAAACATAGGATATTTGCCTTCCTCATCCACAGATCAAGAAAAACAGAACATAAACTTAATAAATACTGCAATAATGATAGTTTGACATCCTACATCTTAATAGCAATATAAAACCCCCAAGCCATGCATGATTTTAATAATTCCAAAATGTAAAATCTGGAAACATGCACGAAAAAAAAAAGGTATAAACCAGTGTAAATATTTAACTGGGGTATCTTCAAGTTCGTGAGTATATCCATTTCTGACAAAACACATTTTGCATCCACACCTGACTTTATCCATAATGTTGCAGCAGATCATAAGGTTCCCAAATCCCCTTGTTTTCCAAAAGTGCAAATCCATTTGGGATATTTTTTGCTTGGTTTCCAGATTTCTCATCTGAATTATTTGCCCATGCCATGATGCCCCCTATATGAGAGAGCCCACTTTAAATCCAGCCCACACAGGAAGTCTGGGTGGGTTCATGCAATCTGTAGCAAATCCAATGAATGGAACAGGTTCTACTAAAAGTAAACATACAAATGTGGGAGTAGATAAAGATAATCACATGCAGCTATACTGACCTCATCTGTACGGCACAAATGTGATGGGGAGAGAGAGAGAGAGAGAGAGGGGGGAAAAAGAACAGATTAAAATGAACACAAACTTCAAATTGATAATTAACACATCTAATAAAGGCATTGTAACATAATAATAATAATTACTTTTTTTTTTAGGATTTCCATATACAGGTAGGTATATTGGTATATGACTCCCGTACAAACAAGTAAGCACCTGTATGTTGGGGTATCAGAAATGTTCAGACCAGAGTAAAATAATTGCCTATTCAAGTATAAATATTATGATCTGGGTGCCAGAGTATTATGAAAGCAGTAAACATTTTGTAAATTTGGGAGCATTCTGTAGCTATTTGTGCACCTCTCAAACAGTATAAGTAAACACGTTTGATGAATATCAATATTGTGGAGACACAATTATTTAAGTAATTAGTTGAGGGATGCCTTAATTAGCAGCAACTTGAGATGCACTGAGAACTGGGCAAAATCTAGTTCTGTTGTCTACATTTTGCAAGTTGATTTTATTCATTTAACATTAAATTGTTGGGGATTGCCCATGTTAAATGCTACTTTTAGTGTCAAATAACTGAGCTGGAAACATAGCTGACTTATTTTTTTAATATGGTTTTTAGCCAAAGATCCCTTGCTGAATTCCTGATGATTCACTATTTTGCAAAAAAAAAAATATTTTTACAATAGATAAAGTTAGTCGCCAACAGGGTTATTTTGTATTCACTCAATGTGAATTTAAAGTAAATTTCAAAATGTTGGCCAAAATAGCCCAAAGGGAATCACTGACTTTGAATTCACTTTGCGTTCACTTGGAATCCCAACAATTCCCATTTTAGTGACTAACCCTGTAAGTTATGAATTGAGGCTAATGAGGTCTAAAGGTTGAAAGTTCCCCTTTAGTTTCCCACAATTCCAGTTTCAGTGATAAACCCAACTATTTTGTGAAAAAAAATCTATATATGATCTGGTGGGGGGGGTTCTGCTCACAAGTATTTGCCACTAGGAACTGGTTCTAGATTAACTGGCATACTGTATTAGAATTGCAGTTCTGCCTACGCCTACCTCAAACTGTAACTAAAATGTGGATATTGTTATAATTATCATACAGAATGACTCAGGAATTGTGGGACATTGCCAAGAATATTGAAAAATTGGAAAAAGTTTCCAAGATGGACAAATTGATCAAAGAACTGTAATTTCTAATTTCTTTACATTTTCCAGTTTAGTAAATAAGCGCCAATAAACTGACTGGGTGCCCACTACCAATGAGAACGCGTTGTTACCAATGAGAACAGTAACAACGCGTTTAATGCTAAAATATTGTGGTGGCATATGTGCAGACAATAAGCAAAATAATATGTAAAGAATATCAGTTATCTGCAGAATATTTAAATTGTGCTTACTCTGCAGTTATATATATTTATGTTTTCAAATATGTATCACAGATATTTAGCTATGTATTTGCTGTTGTGTAAAATGACCACTAGATGGCGCAGTGATTCTTAGAACACATTCCCTGGCCGCTGGCTACATTCTTTAGTGAACTAGTCTGTACAACGTGGGGGCTGAACAGCCTTAGGCAGCTGTAACAAAAACCAGACTCCTGTTAACCCTTAAACGCCCAGTGTGCATACACAAAGCATTGGATTCCTTTACTTTGTGTAGAATGAGTAAGCTAAGTTAAGGAGTGAGTAATTAGAATAAGACATGCATGATTTCAATATTAAACATTGTATATTTCTTTAAATTGTACTTCTTAACTAAAGACCTGTGCTTCACTGTTCTGTAATGTCACATATATTGTATTTAATTTATTCTCTAACACGATTTAACAGTGCTGGGTAATCTGTCACAAATTTTTATGTTCTTATATTTACATTGTCCTCAATCTCTCCACTTGTGGAAGAGCCACAGCTCCCATCACTCCCAGCATGTATGGAAAAGGCTGAGGGTGAAGAGAGCTGCAATCCAAAAGACATTGATGACCTCATGGGGTTTTAACATACATAATGAGAGAATGGCCAGCGTCCATTTCCTTCAAACAGTGAGGTAATGTCTAGAAAAAAACTTTGTATCCACTAGTGGCACCATAAATCTGTTGCTCCCCTTCCCTACTTGGGAAGTATGAGAGCAGAGGGGATTATTTAAACACATGTCTCTACAAGCAGCAGTAATTGGATATCAGGTAATCACTGCCCACTGCTTCTAAAAGTTTAAATTAGAAATCTTTTTTTTTATTTGTATGCAGGGAGATGAGAATGATTTTCTTAAGTTATTCCTAGACACATTCCCCATCGATAGAAATAATAATAATACTAATTAGAATTATCTCTGGAAAGTAATCAAACATCTGTTTGCTTAGAGTTTTGGTCCCTTGCAGTAACTCGCAGACGCCACTAGATGGCGCGCGACGAGAGGCTTTTAGACGCCCATAGAGTTCAGACAATGATGTACAACGCCCAAATCTTCCAGATGTGCCTAGCACTGAAACTTTTGTTTTCTGCATTTCTAAACACTGGAAGAATAACATTAAGCCACTCTACAAACATGTTTGTTGTTTTTTTAAAAAACAAAAACTTTATTGCTGTTTTTGGATACCATGCAATGCAGTGCACTAAAGCAATACAGAACTTAATAGCATCTGAGCTCATTATTGGCAAATGGCCATTCTAACTAGAGGCAGAAAACATCTGCTTATTGTTACCATAAAAAGAAAAAAAATCCCTTTACCATTTACTATATGCAGTCTAAACAGCGTAGGACAGAATAAAGCAGATAGAAAGGGATTTAACCAACACCAAACCTCTTTAAACCCTATCCTCAGCCAGCCATGCAACCCCCCGAGCTCTCTTTATAAAGAATAAAAGGCACTTACATTGACATGTTGCTAGGCATAGGGTTACTGCAAGCAGCAACAAAGTCCTTGTGTCCACAAAGCTGAGCATGACTATTGTCTAGACATGCAGACTCCTTGTGATTAAGAGCCCGGGTGGTTAGTACTTATGGGGTTGCTGTCATGCAGTCTTGTAGTTACTCCAAACTTAGCAGAAACCTGCTGCCTTGATGCTAAGATAATAAAGACTGCTCTGCCTCATTTATACGACAGGAGGTTCCCTCTGCACAAAGTCATCAGGAGCCTCCAGACCAATGAGAGTCTTAGAAACTCCTCCTAACCCCCCTTTCCAAGCCTGCCTGGAGTCCTGAGCTTATCTCAGACCTTCCTTCCTCACCACTATTTTTTTTTCTTCATTTTTTCTTTGGCAACAAAAGATGTGATGATGAAGGCACTGTTGTTAAATTAGTTCCATTCTTTTTGTGTACGTGGACAGTCATGTGTTTAAAATAAGTTTGAAGGATTTTTTTTTCTCATATTTTAGTTGGTTGCAGGCTGGTCCCTCACCACCATCAACGTGGATGGATGTGCTCATGTGTCTTCTGGTAGGTGACAGGTGGACAGTGACAATCCAGGAGCTGTCCAGGGGTAGGGTGCTGTATGCTACCCCCAGCCTTATTAACTAATGGCACATAACTGACTGTGGGGTATATTAATTTATTAGCCTTTATAGAGTACTGGGTGATAGAATCCTCAGCATTCAAAACATTCTATTTTCTAAGCTAATGGATAACACACGTAGATCTACAATTTAGCTAACAAAGATTGAAGTTGGACTACAAAGATTAAAAGTTGGCAATCATTTTAGTTTTAATCATTTTTAAAGGTTGTAGGCTTGGTGTAGTGAGTATAATAATGTCAAGGTTTATAGTTTAATTAGAATGGCCACTTACACAATATAAGCAGAATTGTCATGAGCATTTTCTGCAAGACCTAACCTGTTTTTTAACTACTTGGAGAAAGGTGAAAGGCGAACCTCAAAAGTACCTGCATATGTTTGTCTTTTTAATGAAGTTTGAACTTGGTTTTTGGAAGTGGAAGAGATAGTAGATGGGTTTCTGTATGTTTTTCTACTCAGTTTTTGTCTGATTTTTTGTTTGTTGGAAACACCAGATCATCATTTTAGATTTTTTTTTGTTACATAACAATTATATTTACACACATCTGTATATATATATATATATATATATATATATATATATATATATATTATATAAAATCAGATACTAATTCCTTCTGTTATTTTACATAGATAGATCGATAGATAGATTCTATATATCTATGAACTAATTAGAATGTTTCCAGCAGAGAACCGAGTCATCACAAGATCCAGATGGACTCTTTGAAGTGTCTGAAAGTGAGGGATGGCTTTCTAGAAGTAGTTCTCTAAACGTGCATCATTCCTTTATAAGACACAGAGAGGGAGGGGTAAATGGACCATGATTTTGAGAGAGCAAAACTCCCCCTCTAGCTATAGCTATTTTTTCTTGGGTTACACATTCTTTTCCACACAGGCAAACTTGCTGCAACACGCCCCCAATTCTTCACCATTATTAGCACTCTGTGCAGACCAACATGAAGACGTGGCTTCTGATTAGACAGTGACAATGCTATATTGCATATTGTGTGAGAGTGTAGTTGCTAGCGGTAAAAAATAAAGAGATTTCAAATTAAAATTAATATTAAAATATATGCAAACTATGCTAACCAAAGCCCTTTGTCATATTTGTTTTCTAAAGGGTTAACTAACACTTGGCTAAGGATTTTTTTTTTTTACACTGCCAATATGTAACTAATCCACCCTTTAGACCAGTGATTATTGTTGTTTTATAAAGAAATTTCACTAAATAATAAATGTGTGTTTATTTGAGCAGTTTTTATTTTTTGGATTTTTTTTTTCAAATCAAAATTTTAAAAATGATTTAAATTTAAAGTGCAACTAGCACTTTAGTCGAACCATGGCATACTGGAGAAGTCTTCTTGAGTTCACCAATTTGATTGGATCACATATGAGTTCGTGGCTGTTGGGTGTGTAGAACAATACTGCAGAAGTGGGCTGGGCAAAAAAGTCTCAACACATCAATGTTATTTCTTAAAGATCTGAACACGTTGCACTCAAAGGCAATGTTCCACTAACTAAAACAGCTATATTCCTCATCCATCCTCTGGGATGTCATATACATCTTGGTATTGATTGCATGTACTATAACCACATGCTGCCCTTTACATACGTGTACTATTCACTGCTCAATACATCATCTAACAAATCTATGTGACATAGTGCACAAAAGATGTCTTAGTGTTCAACAATACTTTGTATTGACTTTCAGACCACAATAGGATAATAGGGTAATAAAATGCTGTCCAATTTGTTCGGAGTGCGCGCCAGGTTTTGTCAGTAAGTGTAGCATATTTGCATTATTATTAATGTTATTAGTAGTAGTGTTTTTATTATTAATATTAATGATTATTAAATCAGTCTAATTTCTTCCTGCAGCCCCTGTGCCAGTCTAATTTCGTCCTCCTTTCCTCAACCCCATTTCTCCTACAAATCTAGCTCAATTGCTCTCAAACACCCACTGACTTAAATAACCAACCTATCTCATTCCAATTCCATCTGCCTTGTTCCTCTTTACATCTGCCCCATATCATAGAAACATAGAAACATAGAATGTGACGGCAGATAAGAACCATTCGGCCCATCTAGTCTGCCCAATTTTCTAAATACTTTCATTTGTCCCTGGCCTTATCTTGTAGTTAGGATAGCCTTATGCCTATTCCACGCATGCTTAAACTCCTTCACTGTGTTAACCTCTACCACTTCAGCTGGAAAGCTATTCCATGCATCCACTAACCTCTCAGTAATATTTCCTGAAATTATTTTTAAACCTTTTCCCCTCTAATTATAGACAATGTCCTCTTGTTGTGGTAGTTTTTCTTCTTTTAAATATAGTCTCCTCCTTTACTGTGTTGATTCCCTTTATGTATTTAAATGTTTTTATCATATCCCCCTGTCTCCTCTTTCCTCCAAGCTATACATGTTAAGATCCTTTAACCTTTCCTGGTAAGTTTTATCCTGCAATCCATCTTTTTCTCTCCTTCTTATTCTATATTCTTTTTTCTCCACTTTATTAAATCACCCCTCTTCGTACTATTTGTTCCCTAAACATTATTTTCTGATCTATCAGTGTTTTTTATGCTAGTGAGAATTCATAGAGAATTAAAACTGAATTTCAAATTTAAGGTCAAAGTAGCCAAATTGAAGGCATAGCGGACATATACATTTTAGTTAGGCAATTTTTTACCTTAAACTTGAAAGTCACTTTGAATTCTCACTTTAGTAAATAATAATGTATCCATTAGTACAGCCATTCGTCCATTCGTCCATCCATCCAATAAATTTGGAAACATATACAATAGATTAAGTTTAACTGGATGCTTATGTGCTAGAAGACTGTTCCTGCAAATGGTGTTAGAGAAATTAGAGTTATAATAAAATAGCTCTACCATAAACCAAAAAAACAGCCTGATTTTGACTTTTTATAAGTTTGTACAACCCAAACCTTCCTCTTTACTAAACTAGAGGTACAACCATACTGATACTTGGTATAGAATATCCATGTAAGGCAGAAGAAAGAAGGTTAAAAGTGATCAATTTTACCCCAAACATGATCTTCAGCCCTTTAACACACACTTCAAGTCTTCCAAGACCCTCTAAGTCTCACAACTCTTCTTCTATAACGAGCAGGTTGAATCTGTTCACATTGCTAATTATCCGTTACCAATTGTTATTCTGGAAGGAACAGTCTGCAAATAGCTCTAAGTGTGTGTAGCAAACTCACCACAAACCACTGCAGTAGTCTAAATACTGTAGGAGAGCATGGACTCATCCCAACATTCTTATTGCCATGTGCCAAGGTTATTATCCAGAACAGTTTGGGTTAAAAGCATCTCTGCTTTGGCCGTAGTGGCTTCAAAGTTATAGGAATGTAGAGATGGGAAGGGGGAGTAGTTGCACAGATTCAGTTAAGCTGTATTCCAGCTGCAGTGGGTGGAAGGTGAGGTTTTATTGTTGGCAAAAAAAACTAAGCATCTACTTTGTAGAAAAATGTTCGGTAAGAAGGAACAGTCACAACGTAACTGATCTTTAATAATCTGTGCACAACATAAACAGCGAATATTACATTTATTATATATGAACTTATTATATATGAACTTATTATATATGAACTTGTTGACGCCATGATTTCTTCTGTGATGATTTGTTGAACAAACATTTTTGCAAGCAGATGACTTCACAAACCACGATATAGCAAATTACATTAAAAATCTGTATTATCTGTACAAATTGTAGAGGTACATTCAAACAGATCCTTCTATAAGTATTCAAGCCCTCTTGAAGATTTCCGCATTTTGCAGTGTCACAATCAGGGTTCCACGTGGATTTTATTGGGGTTTCAACAATTTATTCTACACAAGCATAAAAGTGTAAACTAAATTTATTGTGATAAATAAAAGTTAATTACACTACAAAATAAGGCATTTCTTAGTTTCATTTTTTTCCCTTCTTTGCTACGAAATTTCCTAAATAGGTTCTGGTGCAACCAGTTACCTTTAGAATTTACATAATTAGCTGAGTGGCATGCACGTATGGGCAATAAAAGGAGTTACGTGTTCTTTAATAAATGCACCTGATTGTGAAAGACGTATTGTTTTAGAAAGCATATCTAAATCCAGAGCATCATGAATTAAAGTAGCTATCAAAACAAGTCTGGGATAAAGTCCTGGAGTAGAATGAATTAGGACCAGGATATAAAAATAGCCCTCATTTGAGCATATATGTCAAAACCATGCCTCTGCCTTGAAAAGGCTGTCCATAAAAACTGAAATACAGGGTAAGTGGGATGTCTAAAAATTAATAAAAAATGGTGGTAACTCTGAAGGATTAGGAGCAATCCAAAGGTCAACTTGGTAGAATGTGTCAATGGAACAATTGTAAGCCAGATTCATCTTAATTGGTCTCATGTTGGCAAAGTTAAAATCTTTGGCCAAACTCAAAATGCTATGCTTGGTATAAAAACCAATATGCTCATCACCCTGAGGACACAATCCCTACCATAAAACTTGGTAACAGCGGATTATGTTATGAGGATGATTTATTAAGAAAACAAGATAAATTGAGCAAATAACAGATCAATTCTAGAGATAAATCTGACAATCTGAAAGACACCTGAACTTGGGCAAAGACTCATCATCAAACAGGACAATGGGTCTAAAGACACAACTAAAGCTATAATGTATGGGGTTTAAAACTAAGAGTCTACAATGGCCCAGTCAAATCTCAGACCTTAATCTGATTGATGATATGTGGAAAGACTTTAGCAATGATCCCCCTCATCCAACCTGAAGAATAATGATTAAGTATTACAGGATTCAGGTGTGCACAACTGGTTGAGACCCCAAAAGATTAACCTCTGTAATTCAAATATCTACCAAATATACCTTCATTGAAAAAAGAAAGTACACCCTCTTTGAATTTTATGGTTTTACATTTCAGGGACATAATAACAATCACCTGTTCCTAAATCGGACTGAAAATCTGGTAAATGCAAGCTCAGATGAACAACAACACATGGCAAATTACACCACATCATGATTTATTTAACAAAAATAAAGTCAAAATGGAGAAACCATGTGTGAAAAACCAAGTACATCCCTACTGATTCCATATGAATTTAGAGGCCAATTAGCAGACAGGTGCTGCTAATCAAATGACCTTGATAAATTGATTATCAGCAAGTGTGCCCACCTCTATAAAAGCCAAAGTTTTGGCAGTTTGCTGGTCTGGAGCATTCAGGTGTTTGTTAATACAATGCCAAGGAGGAAAGACATCAGCAATGATCTTAGAGAAGCAAGTGTTGCTGCCATTTATCTGTCCGACAGCTAGAGCTTGGCCCAAATTTGGTCATTCAACAGGACAGCGATCCCAAGCACACAAGCAAATTTACAACAGAATGACTGGAAAAGAATCAAGGAAAAGAATCAAGGAAAAGAATCAAGGTGTTGCAACGGCCCAGTCAAAGTCCAGACCTCAACCCGTTTGAAATGCTGTGGTGGGAACTTAAGAGAGCTGTACATAAACAAATACCAGCAAACCTCAATGAACTGAAGTTGGCATTTGTTTATCCACAGCATTAAAGAAATAAGAAAATTCAGCCAAAATTCCTCCACAACGATGCGAGAGACTGATAAAGTCATACAGAAAATGATTACTTAAAGTTATTCCTGGTAAAGGTGGTTCAACAAATTATTGAATCATAAGGTGTACTTGCTTTTTCACACATGGTTTCTCCATATTGGCTTTATTTTTGTTAAATAAATCATGACACGGTGTAATAAATCATGTGTTGTTGTTCACCTGAGCTTGTATTTAACAAATTTTAAGACCTGCGAAGGATTGTTATTATGTCCTGATATCTAAAACCATAGAAATGAGAGAGGGTGTACTTTCTTTTTCCCATGACTGTACACTAAGGACGGAAGGAAGGTCATTTTTCATTTTCCTTTATTAGTTATATGTATATATACACACACATAAATATAAGGATAAATTCATTCTAAATGCACAGTAAATCTATAAGTTGGCAACTTGGCACTAATAAAAATACACCTTAACTAACAAAAGCCAATGACAGCCCATGTTGTCAGGAATCAAAGCCTCCAGCAGTTCTTCTCAAAATAAAATAGAAAAAATACACTTTGGGTTCCATAGCTATGGATAAAAGGCAGAGAGCAGCTGTTGCATTTAGTCCTCACATCCTCCATTCTTCCACAAGCAGTATGAGAATTATGCAAGAAACTGCTGCACAGGATCCCACATGTTACCGTAAAACCCTTGGCAGGTGTGGGTAAACGTTAGACCTGCACATGTAACACAAACTCCAACTGCCATGATGCTTTAACAGCCTGTAGGCTGGAAAAGAATTATGGCATGTAAAGGTCTACAACATCTGGGCATCTACTGTTTACCCAGGTACAGATAAAGGGATGGTGGTGCTAATCAACATAATGATATCTTATCTTAAACTGAAAGGCCATGGTGGAGCCATGTTCTCGTGTTCTCTCTGTGAATGTGTTACCTTTAGTATAAAGAGGACCATTGGGTATCCAATCTCTCTGATCCTAAGTTTGTGGTAGCAAGGTGTGACGAGAGCAATCTCGCCACATTGCATTGGAGAAGCCTGGTTGCAGCGGTGTTCAACGCCTAACTCATGGAACTAAAAACGGACACAGTTTGGCACGAACACCGCTGAAGCCACCGACCTCCCTTCTTGTTCGGTGGAAGTACACAACGGCCCGGTATTCGGTAGTTGTACCTGACTGCACTATACCCCAGATAGGAATCCCATGGAGCTCATCCGTATGAGAACTGACTTTGTGAAGACTTTGGCTCCATGGCGATTAAACTGTATTCGTGTGGTCTGAGCGCCATTCGCTTAATAATGTGCGCTCAGACCTGAGCTATCTGGGGATATGTTAAATGTATAGTTTTATTGTAACTTGTGTCACATAATGTATTTTAATAGTAATTCTTATTTTAGTATCCCCACGTGCATAATGGCGATTTGCCTTTGTCCTGGGAGATAATTGAATTACTTCTCAATTATCTCCAGGGCAGAGGGGAGGAAGCCAGGATGCATTGTGGGAATATAATGTGACTGTGTGTCCTATTTTGCTGATTGTCTGTCTTTTGTCACAGTCTCCCATTTGGTCCCCTAGGGGAGTGTCCACCAGGTGGGAGACCTGCATAAATACTGGGCAGGTAGCCCTCATTAAACAGACCATTGCTTGACCCTCAACACGGAGCCTTGTCTCGTCTTTGGGGGGGGATTTACTGAATGCTGATAGAGAATGATTGCTAGGAGTGTAAGCCGCTTGGGTGCTTTTCCTATTCGTCTGCTAGCAGCTATTCGTATGGTTCCAGTTCGTGAGTTTGGAGTGCTATATTGTATGCCGTTCGGGAGTTTGGAGCATTCCCTTACATGCGGTTCGGGAGTTTGGTGTTCTACAGTAGCTGTGCCTGCATCTCGGAAAAGGGAAGATCGCCTAAACGGTTTTAACCCCTTGTGTGCTGAAACAGTCCGTTACACAGGGTAAGAGGTTTTCCAATCTCTTGGTCGACCCAAAACAGATTTGTGAAAAGTGACAAAGCAACAATTGTTATTATTTACTTTTGTCACAAAATAGTGCATTATTATTTATTATTACTAATAACCATCATCATCATGACAAGAATTTCACACACTTACAGGGTTATTTAGTAATATGAGAAATGTGCAGCACTGATGTTCAGTGTCTCTACGCTCTGCATGGAGGCACTTAATGCTCCCCATAGAGATGCATCAATTCAATGCATCTCTATGAGGAGATGCTGATTTGCGTAGTGTGGCAAACCTAGTCACTTCAGACTATTTTGTTTATCTTTGAGGGTTGCCCTAGAAAGACTGGTTTGTATATGATGTTTGATGTGTTTGCTTAAAATGTGAAAGAGGGAATTTGTATGCCAGTGGCACGAAAGCCGCTAGCATTCATATGGTAGTTTCACGAACAGTGATTTTCAACACTGTTTGTGAAACGAACAAAGTACCGAATGTGAGCCCACACACAGGGGGTCGTGTGGCTCCCATTAACCGATTGCAACAATGTATCCATTGGCTGTTAATTGATTCACAGGGTGGCTGTCGTTCGGCTACCGACCACAAGGCGGTGGCCATCT